TGTTTATTTTGAACGTAGTCTTTGCAAATCGACGCCCATGGATAACATGAAATAAGCGAAAAACTGTCGAGTTTGAAATTCAAAACTTCATAAAATTTAGTAATTTGTTTCTTTTCCTCGTTAGGGCATGCTCTACATTGCGCAACAACCTTGGTGTATATAAATGTAACCTACATACGATCATACAAAGCCAATTAAGCATTGTTAACCACTTAATATGTTCTACTCAAGCCATAATAATGTATTTTGAATTTGCGGATACGCCAAAAATTGATAGACAGTTACGCGAACCTCGTTCATATATGTAAAACCGAATCATTTCATATCGCTTGTGATCCAAAATTGAAATGTTTTTCAACCGGATTTGAGTTTTGTAAGCTGTAATAGATGAAATCGTGTTATTACCACCTTGCAGGGCCTGTTCTAGGGGTTTTAGTACTAGTTGAGAAGGCATTTAAATTGCTATATTGACGTGAGCAATATTGTGTCGGGCGTTAATGGCTTTAGTTGGGCAATAATGATATTATCCGCCCGGCTATGTTTCCCGGGAAAAGTGATATCGTTCAGTGCGTAAGATTTTCTATTTCAAATTTGCTATTTCAGCCCTGGGCATTAACGGTGGTAATAATAGTAATAACGTCATTTCTGCGGGCAAAATAGTGAAATATTGGACCTAGGGCCTGCGGCCCTTGGTCCAATATTTCACTATATTGCCCTTTGAAATGACGTTATTGTATTATTATGAAGATGGTGACATAAACAGCTGAATATGATTTGTAATAATGGTAATATATGTCTAATGTCACTCATGACATCATCAATTAATTTGGAGTTGTTTTCTTCCGTCGCCTGTTCGTTGTTACTGATTTCTTCCTTTGCCTCTTCATTACAATCATTTTCACTTTCATTGGCTTTCGCCATTTTTTTCCTTGCCCTATAGAGGCTCGAGCAAGAGCGTCTCTTGCGAGTCCTGAAAACAAATATAGGCAGTTCACACATAGAGAGCTATTGCCCCGAACCGGTCCGTCTTCTCGCTGCAAGCAGATTGCCCCGAACCGGTCTGTCTTCTCGCTGCAAGCAGGAGGAAATTCTTTGTCACAAAGTTTGGCATTTTTTATAAAATCAAACGCGCGTCATTGAAACTCACAAGATATAAATAGCATGTCATTTACATCATACCTTGATGGGGAAAAATAGATCTTATATGTTAGAAGTACTAAATAAAAGTTATCGTGAAAATGAGACAGTCGTTCTCGAGAGAAAAGAGCATAAATGCGCATTTTGAGAGTTTTGGTCCGTTTAAAAATCTGTAAAAAATTGGGGTACTTAAAAGCATCGGGAGGCATCATATATTTCAAATGAGACACGAGGAAGTCAATATTGAGCAAGTTATGGCTATTTTAAATTCAAATAAAACCGTTAACCCGTACCGGTCCAGCTTTTGACCCGTACCGGTCAATTTTCGTTAGCTGCGTATACCAAGGGTGCATCTAGGGACATGACTTGACAGGAACTTGCATGTAACCGTCCGCTAACATCTAATGTAAAACTAATACAATGCGTTGCTGTCCATAAAAAAGCATGCAATACATACGTATCTGTCTAACGACCTTGCGATTGAAACCTTATTATCTACAATGTTCACCACATTTCTGTTCTGCATTTGTCATTTTATGGCTTGTTTATACACAGTTTACGTACAGTTAGTATTTTGAGTGGCTCTGAGGCACATATACTGAGAAAACACGAAAAAGGACTAAAAATTATGAACTTCGAAATCTCAGCTGGGTAGGTTTACAGCTTATATTCAGCTTCTTGTAGACCACACGACAGATTTAACTCAATCTTTATAACCATTCACATATGCATCACCGAATGGAACTAGTTGAAAAGGAAAGCTTACCTGTGAATCTTGCCTACAGGCGAAAAAGAGGACATGCTGTCTTTCCCGTCCGCCATTTTTTGTTATCGTTACCGCAAAATTTGGCCAATTGCCTTGTCGTATCTGTCATGCTATAACACCGTGATTGTATTCTATTGTATTTTTTCCTAGGATACAGCAGGGGCGGATCAAGGATTACATTCAGGGTGAACACTTGGACATTTTGACATCATTGTACCAATTATTTTCATTTTGAAAATTTTGACATAATTGTACCAACTATTTGGAAAAAACTATACTACATTGTACTGTACATTCTAGTATTCAGTGCATATATCAGTATATAGATTATCGCTTTGGGAAATCGGACCATGGATACCCTTTGCATTCGTTTGACTTCACTTCTTAAAAGAGAGCTTCGTCTTCGTAGTTTAACTAGACTCTGCACGCAGGGTAGACCATGGATGTTATTTCTGGTCGAATGGCAACATGGGCGGGGAAGATATAAACTGAAACCATCTAGAGCAGTGGCGTAGGAACAATGTACGTAGACACCAGAAGCAAATGCGTAGTTTTCAAAAGTGAAAATAAATAAAAAATAATGGGCACTCATTCAAATCAATAAAACCCACGATCAAAAAGTTCTTGAAACGTTTATTGCAAATGGACTGAAAAACTGGATCTGCAATGAATTAATAAGTGGTATTTTTCTTCGATAACGACAACATTTAATCAATTGACCATAATCATCCATTTTCAAAGCACTTCATTTATGCTTAATTTCACAGATCTTATTGTACATGTTGTATACCCTATTGACGTCCTTGCTGCAATTATGACCATTATCTCTATCGTCAATAACCCAGATGCGAGTAGAAATAATCTTGATTTACGTCATTAAATATTCAAAATTCAGTCAAAGTAATATCATATTTGAAATCTACATGTAAAATTACATCTAGAAATGTGGTTTTAAAAAGTGTTTATCAACTTTGAAAAATTAATTTTCTTTGAAAATGTGACTTCTAGCTCGGGGAGATTACCCATAGACCCCATGCTATAAAATCACAAAAAATGAAATATCTTTTCTTTTAGTGGACAGATAATATTTTGCTTTACTGGACATATTTTCATTAGTATAAGTATCAGACACATAAGGGTTATATGAAAATTGAGCCACTTAAATTGATAATATTCAAGTTTAAGGGAACTTTGTTATATACCTGCCTTGTTAATTGACCCGAATCAGCCACCTGGTGGTGAAACTGGTAACTACCTACTCGCATTTGGGTAATTGTACACGATAGCATCGGACGACGTGTTAGGGGATGTCCATTTGCGGGATTAAAAAAACGTAATACAGTTTAATGACTAAAATATTTTGTTAATGATTAAAGGGCTATCGTTGTGATCTAAACAACATTTAACATTGGAGCATATCATGTATTAACTAGCAAAACTGACGATTTATAATTATAAAATGGCATTTCTAATATATACTAATTCGCTTAATTTTCTTTGTTATTATTTGTGTCTCATTATTGAGTGTATATCTGTATATTGGTGCCTCCAGGCATCAGGTTATCTGTGGCTAGTACTTACAAATCATCAATTCTAAAAGGGATTCTAGCTGTTACTCACATAACATTAGGATTGTTTATTCAAGACTTTACATGTATCCGCCACTGAATACAGGTAGTTCGGAACTTGTGATCACGATTTATTTATTCAAAGATTAAGAAGATATGAACTCGCGTAATGCTATCAAACACTTTCATCGGTGAAACATGGATATCCAGAAATAAACTATTATTTGTTCTCCCTAAATTGTACCCCGCTTATGTAATTTCGCGTAATTTGGGCGTCAACTTTCTGAGACGTGTTAACATGCTTCTTTCATCTTAATGATGGATTTGTAGATTCTTTTTTATTGTGAGATGTGAAATTTCAACGTGCAAACAACATTTCCAGTTGCAATCTTAATGTACATATTCATTTGGGTGGTCTTGGCCTGGGAGTGCGAATATTTCTAGTTTTTACAATGCCTGTCCATAGGCGTAGCCAGGGGGAGGGGTGCGATGGCCCATCATAACCAATTACAATAAAACAATGAGGTATAGGAAGAAAAAAGCTTTAAAATGCTCTTTTTATTACGATAAGCCTCGATGGCATCCCCCCGGACTGGAAACATGGATACACACTGCTGTCAATGATCAATGGCGGAACTTAGTCTTAAATTATGGAACCATTGTCAAATGTAAATTTTATCGGAGGAGAAGTGACTGTTTCATGTGACATAATATTTGGCTGAAAAAGTAAAAATCGAACCATTTTGACCAATCGATGAAAAGTTTTACTACAGGGAATTTGCGAAATTAGCGACCATCTTGCACATAATGAGGTAGCATTTGCTTACTTAACGCTCTCACCGGAATTCGGATGGTTTATATATTGTAATTTTCATAAGTATACATATTGGCCCTCAAAAGTGAAGGAAGGTACACCACCGAAAATATGACAATTCACATGTTCCAACAATAACAATGAATAGACAAATAAAATGAAGAAAGAAGCGAAAATAATATGACCATACATAATTATATAAGTACACAATCATGTTCAAATAATAGCAATGAATAGACAAACAAAATTAAATTTGAGTATATTTCAGTTTATTTAATAAATGTAGAGAACGACAGTATACTAGAAATAGTTTGGATAACTGTCAAAAGTATAGATAATATGACCTATGGTGTTCTAACGGAGCAATATCAGTACTAATGATATACATCTTACAAGAGGTTTGTAAGTTGTATAACTTTATGTACATGTACCAGACAGTGTTATCAGTGCTCAACGATAATTAGGAGATACATATCATTTATAGGGATTTATAACAAACATACTAATATTTTCGAATGCAAAACCTATTTACAAGATGTATACATTTATGTACATTTATGTGTGCCTGAGACCAGACAGTGTTATGTATTTTCAAAGCACTTGAAACAGTTAGAGATGTGATTTGGTAATTTATTGAAGCATGGGATAAAACATGCAGAGCTCCAGATATAGTGGATGCTGTATAACACTTCACTACCATTCTGATTTATCAGAGTCTCACTTTATCTAACGCTTTGGTGAGCCAGTATTCCAAAGGAAAATACTTGCCGTGGATCCCACAATGCTTCACTACATATATATATGTAGCATTAACAAATCTTATCAGACAGCACAAATCTCAAAAATCTATCTCTAACTATTTGATGGTCTGGATATCTTTTTTGAATTTCTTTCTTTTGTTTGCAAACAATACCCATGTTGTTGTCATAGTCCATTAACATGTTGTAAAATGCATGGTGGTTTGGATTTTGGGAACATGCACTAGACAACCGTTTATCTTTGGTTTTGGCATTGTCAACCTCTGCCAAGGAGGTTGCATAAGAATGCAGCGATGAACAGTTATTGATGTCATGGTATCTGCAGGTGTTGTGCGTATGTGGCGAGGCAACATTGTGAAATCGATCGCCTACAACGTATCGATTTCTTTTTCCCGTGTATGGGTGAACAAATTTATCATCAGATATGGTGAGGTGGGGGTTTTCCTCTAAGAAATTCGGAGGTAGCAGTTCATTAGCGGTGAAGATTTGGGGGTCCCCAGTGCTGTTTGATCTCTCAAAGCATCCTCGCAAAGAACCAAAGATTTCTTCACACGTTTTGGGAAATCATATCTCCATGTGGGATCGAATGGTGCAAGGAATATCTGATACATATACTGGAGGCATATGTCGCAATGACATGTAGCAATCTGCATGGTCCCGAGCAGACTCTGCCCTCACAATCATCTTCGACACATACACAACCTGAAATTACATGGGATAACATAGGGTAAGATACTTCCGTCTTGTAAACATGATATAACACCAGTATCAACTACACACGTTTAAATTCATTCCTATACGTTTTATTAAAAGAGAACATCTAAAAACGATAGAAATCATAAGTAAAAAGCAAGTGGGTAAAGTTGGCTGCATATTGGTATTGGTATTGGGATTCAAACTCACTAGTTGCTGGTGAGCTTGAATCTCAATACCAATACAAATATGAATCCCAATATGAATCCAAATATGGTTATTTATATCATTAAAGCGAAAAATGTTGGTTTCTCTGCAGCAAATGTGGTCGAATGTCAATACCAATAAAAATATGAGCTCATATTAGGATTCGCCAACTCTGTTCGAATCCCAATTTGAATCCCAATATGAATCCTAATATGGTTATTTATATCATTATGGCGAAGAAAGACGATTTTTCTGTATCAAATGTTTTCGAATCTCAATACCAATACAAATATGAGCTCATATTATGATTCGCCAACTCTGTTCGAATCCCAATTTGAATCCGAATATGGTTATTTATATCATTATGGCAAAGAAAGACGATTACTTTACCCACTTGTAAAAAGCTATCTGTGAGGTTATACTGTAAAAACATTACCATAATTCATTTTAGATTCATTAAAGTGATGAAACCTCGATTAAGGTAATGACATTTTGTTCAGATGTTCAGTGAAAAGTGCAAAGTAAATCATTTTGTCCAAAATTATGTTACAAAATTAAGGTGCCATTATTTGTGTAAAATCCAGGTGTGCCTGTAAAGGAATAGACTACACATCCTGTAACGCTCATAAATCTAAATTCAACTGAGCTATTCATCTGAAACTTCTTGTGGAGTTGCATCATGGATGCTTATAGTGTCAATGTGCCATAACAAAAAGTCTGATTTATTGTGGACGAAAAAGTTATGCAACATTATGTGAGCGGGTGTCATTCAGATTGTGTCACTGTAGCAATAAACTTTCAAGCCTTGATTTCTCAGTTCCGTAAAAATGTGAGATAGTACAAAGTTATTCTCATGCGACGAAATATCATACTTACTGAGTGAGGGCAGACAAATACAAGACGACCTCCAGACCGACCTTGGATTTTCCCAAAACTATGGCAGGATGACAGGCCCTCATATATCTGTTTGTAGAAACCAAATATCTTGCGTCTTAAATTAATCTAGAATAACAAAGTACACCATTTATTAACACCTTTTGCTTTTAAAGGACAATTTTATAGTTCATTGTTGTGTTGTTGTTGTTTATTGTTATTGTTTATTATATAATTCATTGTTACCAGGGTTTTCTATTGTTCAATTACAACTTCAGAAATAATATAACTGTGTAATTCTGTTTTGAATGTAATCTTGATAAAGCTGGTTGCATGACTGTTGAAACGTCAAAAATAAAAAATTATTCTCTCAGGAAATATTGTGTAAAAGAACTTGAATTATTCAATATATTACCAGAGTGAGTGATCAATAACCCAGGTGCGAGTAGAAATAATCACGATTTACATCATTTAAAATTGAAAATTCAGTCAAAGTTATATCATATTTGAAATCTACATGTAAAATTACATCTAGAAATATGGTTTTAAAAAGTATTTAAAAAAGTATTTATCAAAGGACGATTCTCGGTTTGGAGAACGAAGTTCATCAATCTAAATGAGCATTATCCCTGCTTCGGACAAATTTGATTTTTTCACATAATATAGATTTGAACGTCTTCTTTTAAATAGTCATACTTTAATTTGGGTAATATTTCTAGATTTTTCGCAAAAAAAATATTAGCGCAGTACACTATTGAACTTCTTTCCCCAAATCGAGACTTGTATTTTATTGAATCGATCTAAATTGAGCGTTATCCCTGCTTCAGACCAAGTTGTTATTTTTACATATTATAGATTTAAATGTCCTCTTTTGAATATTCATAGTTTTATTTGGGTAATATTTCCATATTTTTCATGAAAAAAATTATTATCCCAGGAGACTGTTCTCCAAACCGAGAATCTTCCTTTGAAAAATTAATTTTGTTGAAAATATGTGACTTCTAGGTCGGGGAGATTCCCCATAGACCCCATGTTATAAAATCATAAAAAGTGAAATATCTTTTCTTTCAGTGGACAGATAATATTTTCTTTACTGGACATATTTTCATTTGTATAAGTATAAGACACATAAGGATTATATGAAGATTGACCCAATAAAATTAATAACATTCAAGTTTAAGGGAACTTTCTTATATACCTGCCATGTTAATTGACCCGAGTCAGCCACCTGGTGGTGAAACTGGAAACTATCTACTCGCATCTGGATAATTGACACATAAATAACTCAACTAGTTTATCCAATGAAAAGTGAGGTTTCACCATTGTGTTTTCCATGAGAACCATATCAAGGGATATTTGAGTGGGAATACAAAACTTGTATGGAAACTTGTACTTATAGATAAAACTTCAGGGTGTTACATAATGATAATTAATTGTTGGAATAGAGATCATAGTTCATTGATTGACACAAATGATTATGCTAGGGTTTAGATTTAGATCAAATTTTATAAGTTTACAATCATTGTCTATATTTAACATTAATTTGACCCTTTAAAGTACAAGTTTAGGTACATTTTCAAACAACTTTTATCAAACGCTGTCCATTGTCACGTCATGTACTTGTAGTTATATAAGGAAATGCACATACCATTGAATCATTTACAGTGTGAACAATGCCAACTTTAGTGCATATTGCAATGAGCTGATTGTGGTGCAAGTCATCCAGCTCATCAATGTTGACTTCGCCAGAAGCTATTAAAGAAGACAGCTCCGCTTCGCTGGGTTTACCTAAATCATTGAAAATGCAATGTTTAAATTTGGAGAGGAATACATTTACAAATAAGATATGAATGGCTTGAGTTGATTACGCAATATGATACTGCAAATAAGACAAGTTAATCGCAAAACTACTTCAACGAGAGTGTAGTCTAACTGATAAAAGGCTGCGTACTGTACATCAACTATTAAACACCAACTCCGAGAAGTAGCAAATGGCAACAAACAAAAAATGTTTCTATAAATAGCAGAGGTCATACAACAGATGTAGGGATGGACAGACAGACGCCTTTCTGATATCCGCCGGGAACTTTGTTCGGTGGGATAATTATGGAAATTGTGTCAAGAAATGTCAAGAATTTTAAAATGTATTTATAAAACAAAGATTTAAGACCAGGGTGCATGTCCAGAATTCATTAAGTGAATGAAATTGTTACTACTTACATAATTATATAATTACGATTTGGATTTGTTCATTGACAAATCTGGGCCAATTAAGCAGTTACTAGGTATGAGCAATCTACAATCTGATTCTTTAAGATAGTTGTAGGAAATGATTATCCTTATAGGAGTTGGCCTATTATAATTATACTTTCAAGGTCTACTAAAAAACAGAGATATATTGCCTGATATGACATTTATGTGCTAACGGCTACATGTTTCCATCTTACCTTCGACAAGTTCGTCGGGCCTACATATCCTGGACTGTTTTTGGAATTCAGTGTTTAACATAGATGTTCCCCTCAATGCAGGTGGAATGAATGGTGCGACACGATAAGCATTCATCTTCTTTATTTCTGGATGTGAAACAACAGAAGCTGACACTAAATTCTCGTGAACAGTGGACCAAAAATCATCTGGATCCACTTTCCCATCACCATGATCTCCCTGATCAAACTGAAATGAACAAATAATTTATACAGTAATACCAGCATATAGTGAACAGCTATGGACACACAAAAAGTGTTCAATGTATAAAGCTGATCACTACAGAAAGGAGTGTACTAAAAACCATTCAATATTCGATTATTAAATGGGAGTCAATGCAAAATGCAGTGCATTCAAGTATACAGCTGTTCATTAGAATTCTTCATTCAGACAGGTTTTACTGCTCATTTTGTGATTATCCTTCATCAGAATGCATTTACATTAGAGCATTTAGTAGAGGTATTTTCCATCCACTAATTGATAACATTACTTTTGCACACAACAAATTCAAATCATTTACAATTAATTCAGTTTACTAGCATTTTGACACACCTCATCTGTGGACTTTAAGAAAAAACAATTTTTAATGATAAAAAACAGCAAACTTAGAAATATATTATTCAAAATAAGACTAAGCAATCATAACTGAACCAAATCTTAGATGAATTGCATTTAATCTTTTACTGCCCTGCCTATTCAAGCCAAATATCAATATTTTTCAAAACACTATACCAACAAATCTCAATCAGCAGGCCTCACGCTTAACTTTTTGACCATGGTATTGATTTTCACTACTTTATATTTTTCCAGGTAGCTATTTGACTAAACCTGGTAGTGAAAAATATATTATTACCATTTAACATGTAAAAATTTAGCACTATGTAAAAAGTGTTTAGATTTATCCCAGATCATAACCTTCACAGAATAATAATCAATGTTTATCTTATGTTTCTATACGGTAAGGAAAATAGCTACTCATGGAAATATCTAGGTAGTGTTTTGGTAGGATTAGGTAGTGAAATCACTACATCACTTATGCAAATTTCGAGCCCTGATCAGTATTATAGCGACCTAATGAAAGAAATCATCAACAGCAAAATTAAAATAATTAAAGATCATGCCAAATTCATCTTAGAGTGTGACAAAACAAGAGCATGTATATTGGCCTATAGTAGACATTTTCTTAAGTTTAACTTTTAGAGTCTATAGAGGCCTATAGAGTGTATATTGTATCTTATGTAGCAATTTTTGTAAGCCGATTGTACATATATATCATTACGTTTATATAAAGATCATGGTGTAACTCTTTTTTATAATTTTATATATAACTGTAATAGTGACCCATATGTTGGAGAGACTGACATGATAAGAAGTCAATAAAAGATAATGATGGGTTGTTTGGGTTTGCAGTTCTGTAAAATCAATTAATGAAAGACTAAAATTACGCTACCTCTAGCTCTGTAAGGTTACAGCAATCCTTTTGATTGGCATCCCCAATGAGCATTACAGGAATGTTGCCACATATACCGCACAGACTTTCATCTAAATTCCGTGGTGAGAGAGCTTCAAATGCATAGAAACCATTATAAATCACCCTTGATAGGTAGTTGATCTTTTCGTCCTCTTTTTCAATATCAATATCAGATACACGAGAAGTCTTCGACAGTTTCTCAAATAGGATCTGTATCGACTGCTCGGGTGATAATCCATTTCGGCGATGAAGTCTCATCTCGAAAAATACATCATACCCTACAAGGACCTTATTCTGGCAATTGAAGAGACCTAGAAGCATAATAATTAAATTGAGACAATATGAAATATTTATTATATGAGACATTTATAAAATTTGTAACAGAAAATATACTGACATAAAGAGGTTGAAACAAGTAAAGCTTCAAGTAATGTAAAAGTATTCAAGACCTAAGTACATTAAAATCAAATGTTTCACATCTGTTTCTACAGAAATTGTCAGCTATTGCCTTAATCAGCTGATTCATGACTATTTGTATTCTTTGTACTGTTTTCATAAACTGATCACTTATGAGCCAGTTAAAGTGGAACTAGAAAAACAGCAACTCCTCGGAGTAGGAGTAGCAAATCCCACCGAACAAACAAAATTTTGATTGTAAGTGGCCATCTTGAAAATTCCCTCTTGAGCAGAGCAACTGTGTCGTTAGCCATCATCATATAAAATTTGAACCAAATTAACAAATCTGTTCACTGGTATATGAGTTATCAAAGATTATGTTCTTTAACGAAAAATGGCCGCCATTTTGAAATTGAATTGAATCAAATCCGTCAACCAGTATTTGAGTAATCGCACGGACAGACAGACAGACATCATAATTACAAATGTTAATATTGTACAACTTTTAACAAAATGCACCGCTGCCATCTATTTTTCATTATAAAGTTTATATACAGCAATATCTTGTTAAACATTTGGTAGCAACAAATCTTTTCTTTAGGAAAGGGAGATATGTTAGATACATCATATTTGATTGTGATTGTGTTTGAGTTTGGCCATGCGTTTCATGTGTGCCGCCATCTTTGAAATTATGTTTGGAATAAAAATACACATCAACCTTAATCCTGAATTATGTCTTCGTTAGTATATATCTACAGTAAATAACCATACATATAAACACTTAAATACCAGGATCCAACAGATTTCTATTTGTATGTTTGTCATCAAAATTTTTCTCTAATAACAGTACGCCTGTGTGTACTTGGCATACATTTTCGGATCTGTAGCACAATTTTAATTTTCGGGATAAAACCAGTTTCCATATGGCTGGGCTCAATAAACTATTTAGCTAGTGTATAAGTTATCTGTGATCTACAGTGTGTCAAATAAATATGTTCCATCCATTAATTTCAAGAGTAATAACGTTTTTGCATAAAAATGAGTATAGTTGAGCTAGTCATTTGAAACTTTTGGTAGAGTTGCTAAAGAACATTTCAGATATCATGCAGGCAAAAATGTTATGGAACATTATGTGGAATTGGGTAAAACATATTGAAATGACAACCTGTATATAATCAGAGGCTGGTATTTAAAATTATTACCTATCTTATTTGCATCAACTGCTACAGTTCCACTGCAAGAATGACATACACGCGCTTGAATGGCCACTTTAAGAACAAGTGATGTGGTGACTAAAAAGTATTCGCCATTTGTCCCATTCGGCATTTGTGGGTTGGTACAGGTGCTATCTTTGCACATTGGGCAAAATGGTGGAGGCGTAAAAAGGCTTGGCCACACATCAGTGAGATTGGTGGTTTGGAATGACTTGGCCATTTCACTTTTCAGGTTGCAGTTAGTTACTATCTTCAAAATTGAAGTAATGTCCTCAGGAATCTCCTGACACATGGCAATTCTTATGCTGGCAGAAGCATTGGGTGAACGTTTTACCACTTTTAGAGGAGATGGTAGAGTGAGCTTCGAATGTTCCTTGGTGGAGGCATTCACTGCATGAATGTGCACACAGCAATGACGAGAACGTGCATCAGCAGTGCGACAGGGTCTCGAATCACATTCGTAAGATTCGTTTTTTCGACGGACGTGAAAATAGCCACCTAAAAATACAAGAATAGATGAATAAAGCCTCGTTTGTTTTTGATTTTCTTAGGCCAGATCTTCATTCTTTTTATAGAAACTTGCAATAGACACTTAATGTAATGATTTATCAACAAGTGTTGGTTGAAGCTGTCTGCAACTTGAATGGCATACTTAGTCTATTGGATGACCCTGTCAATGTACATATTGTGATTAAAGATGAAAATATTGTTTGTCATACGAATAAACCAAGGTTTTAATGTATTTTAGCAATGCACCTGACCTCTATGGAGATTTAAAAATGTCATGGAAAATGATTTAAATGACATAACTACTAAATCAAAGTTATGATTTTAGATAACTTTTCGTTGAATTCAAATATCCTATTAAAAATAAAGGAATGTACACTGTAAGTCATTAGAGGTAAATAGTGCAAACCTCTTAAAAACTCCTGAAAAAAGGAGAATTATAGAATATAAATAGGTTATTAATGGGAGCATTGATATGTGAATTTTAATCCAAGGGAAAGTATTGACTGTATAGACTGAAGGCGAATAGACCGAGTAATCATATAGAGATATAGCTATTTAAAGGGATGATGTCACACAGGATTTGGAATTATACTTGGTTTGTACTCGAAATTATGCTTTTTGACAATGCAACTTGACGCAATCAACTTATCACACCCAGGTACAAGTTATAGAGGATCACCAATCACACAATATAGCTTACAATTTGGGGGACTGTCCATCCATCTTATTTGACCAACTTACACAGACTATAGTTCATTTGAATTTTTGATATAAACTGCCAATAGATCACACAATCCCACATTTCAAAAGAGCCAATATCCTTAATGTTTTTCAAAGAGTGTACATGAATATTGCGGTTTATGTTTTTAAATGCATTAAAGGTTTAACCCTGTAAGAGGCAATTCAAACATTAATTTACTTTCAACAACACAAAAATAAGACCAACATTCATTGTTGAAGATGACCACAAAATTAACATATTTCAATAAACATGACCTTAAACTGACCCATACAATTCAGTTTACACATTTCTGGCACTCAATCAATTGTTCTTTTTTCGAAAGGCACTATACATTTGGTTGTGGGGGGGGGGTGTTCCATCTTATTTGATGTATATGATTTATTATTAAATTACTGTAGATCTGAAAATTGCCTGATTTTTAATTTGGCCCATTTTATATTATCAATCGGCAAATCCGTCAAATTAAAATGGTAGCCAAAAAAAGTGTATCTACGGTGATACAACTGATTTAATACGATTCATGATGTAGATATTATTAAACTATCCCTTACCAGTGTTGGTCTGATTTGCTTCGCCAACCACAACAAAGGATGTCCTATTCACCTGGAACACCTTGGTGACTTTTCTGTACTGTGTTAACATGTTGGTGGGAAGTGGAAATGGTGGGTCTTTTGATAGTGGTGGAAAAGCTATGGCCCGTGGAATATCTTTTGATGCGGTCTTGACAGATATAACATGGCTGCATGTGAACTCACACCTTGATAGGATAGATGTTGTCCTAGTGTTCAGACATTTGGCATGATGGCAAAAAAACGAACCATTTTTCAGGTGCTGAACAATTGTCCTATTGTCAGGACCTCTTGGGGTGGTTTTGACAGAAAATGTTCCATCGTCCAGTTGGCATACTGGTGTCGATTTGACACCATCACTATGGGGCTTACTTTGCCCACCAATGTTAAACAAACATTTTACACATTCTTTAGGTTTATGCCTATTGGCATATTGCTTATTGCACTGAGGGCAATGGTAAATGCCTCTTCTGGTAGATTTACAATGTGAGGACATGACGCATGTTTTCAAACTCCTATTTTTGTCTCCTATTTTGGTTATATCACAGTTTTCCAGTTTTCAAATATCACAAGTCATACAGTTTCAATGATATCACAGTATCCACTTTTTAAATAACATATCACAGTATCCACTTTTTGAATATCACAGTTTCCAAACACGACAGATGGGTTGTAAGTGTTGCAGCCGATGTGTACTAAGCACCTCTGTGGTATAAGCTTATATTAGGTTGATGTAATGGCCTAAATAACAAGCACAAGTGATAAATATAAAATTGGGAATCAGATGTCAGGAAAGACTTCAGACCAATTGTCCATTGTGCCATTGTATGAATCTGTCTGCCAGATGTTACAAAGGATTCAGTAATACTGACAACCCAGCACAACCAGATGTCAGACTTTAGTAATGGTTCCACTTCATCATCTCACTTCATAATCTCACTCAATAGGTCAACCAATCAAAATGCGTGTAAGAGTAATCAAAAAGCACCTATACAGTTTAGAAAAAGTTTTTGTAAACAGGTTCATCATTTATGAAAAACTTATAAATACTTTACTATTGCAGCTTTGCCTGGTTTTCAACAAAAGATCCAATCCAAACAATAGGCTGTTCATATATCAGACCAAACTGTCGGAAAGGTTCATTGAGAATATATCAGGCCAGTTGTGTTTATTGAATAATTTTCTTTTTTCAATGTTATTTTCAGTAGACTAGACTCTAATGAGATATTCTTCAAGATGAATTTTATGTTTGAACTTTACATAGGTTCTCATATTACTGTATACACGGGAAGAAGTGCCATAAGATATCCGCTTTATATACACGGGAAGAAGTTAAACCTAGGCCACCCCCTCTCGGGAAGAAGTTAAACCTAGGCCACCCCTCTCTCTACCAGTGCAAACAGTACTCGAAATTCGCAAATGTCTTTTGACTAACTTAACTTCCGGGTTCTTTACGGAAGTGTCTGAGTCTCGTTCTGAACGACCAATCAGAATGACTGATCTAGGAGGTTCACATCACCTGGAATATTGGGTAAAGTGGTAGAACAACAAAGATGTGAGTTGCATGTCAGTTGACATGGACATTCAAGAATTAATTACAGAATGCTTACCTCTTCCTTTGATGCAACTCCCATCCACCCTGGCAGTTTTCTCTTTTTTATATTTTTAGGTGAAGACATCTTTGTCAACTAAGTGGCAACAATAGACATAATTTCACTTTCCATATATACACTATATACATGAAGAAATATTCATATTATTACTGTGTTAGAGACATCAGATCCTATTCATTCTGACAATTTCTTAGATTTGAAAAGATTTAGATTTGAGTTTTCCCACCTATTTACTCCGTGGATTTTTTTGACTAAATAATTAAAAACTTCAAATACATCTAAAGGCATACCATCAACATATAAGATAAAATCAAATTATGTTTACTTTTTGATTCAGATATATTTTATTTCACTCGTAAGTGGAAGAAAATGATTTTGAAACTTTAATTCACCCCGGAGCATCCGGGAACTTTCAAGATGTCGGCGCCCGTAATAAGACCGGCGGTTTATGTTTTTTCTACATCTTCGGGTTTAACTGCCAGTATATTGAAATATGCACCTTCAATATGTGTCAAAGAAATAACCCCAGGTATAATGTAATTGATATGATGATGTGATGTGATGCTGTCCTATCAGATCCAAAACGGGGAGCTATTTTTATCTACATTTATATCTCTACATGTAGATATCTATCTCATACAGTATTCTATAGTCTAGTATAATACTATAGAATCAGTCTAATAACTGAATAATGTCATTTTTCTTTTACTTGGTTTTGTATTTCAATGAACGTTTTGACACATTTATATATACATGTACCACAATCATTCATTGGTCCTGAGAAAAAGTGGGCGTGGCACATCATGTTCATGTACTGTGCATGTGAGCACATGTGATGTAAGGAGGATGAAGAAGTACATGTACAGGTCTTCGTTCATACCAAATAATCAGCTAACAAACAACAGTCTCGGTATTTGGTCATTTTGAAGCGTCCTGACATGTCAGTGATGTTATTGTTAATACATGTAAGGCTTTGTATAAAAAACCTCATACCCACCTACAGTTTGGAACATAACATGGAAAATAAGAGTATTTTTAAGAGGCCATACATTAGTGGATGAGATTATACAAAATTTAAAATACAGTATACAAATTTTAAGGGATACGTATCTAGACAATATTTGAAATTATGGGCTTTCAGACAACCATGAATAGGAAATGGTGATCGAAAATCGACCTGTCATTTATTTTTGTGCCCAACTGTACCCACGTACGTGGGACATGATACAGTCTTTGATTGGTTCAAAGTTTATTAAATCTTAGTTTATGATGAATTATAGATGCATTTGTAAGGACCCTTGATAGAAAGCTGCTACTACATCCCAGCTGGGTTCAATTCCCACTCGGGGCATTAAATTTAGCACACTTTCTTTCAATTTCTATATCTGGCTTGTTAGACCTATGCTCGCGGTTGTTAGTTATTTATTCCCCTGGGGCGCCCTCGGGTGATTACACATTAAAATGCATCCATATGCCTTTATTTATGGATCTGTCTATTCATAAAATAAAGCCGGAATTGTAGAAATGTTAATAATTTGAGCTTTTTTGAGATTTAATAATCTTTAAAATTGAACCCTTCAATGACTGTTTCATGTAGGTGGGTATGAGGTAGGAGGTTTTTTATACAAAGCCGTTATTTAAGGTACAGCTGGAAAACAACATTTTGGTAAAAAAATGCTATACCTGCACATGTTATTTTCTGGTACAAAATAAAATATGAAGGCATGTGTCAATATCCCTGCTTTTTTCAGGAAAGTATCATTACATTGTCTTCTTTTAGTATATCTGGTATGAGTTCAATGGGAACTCCAGGAAATTCTGATATTTCACACTTTCTATTTTTCCAAATTTTCTTTCAAAGTTTCCAGACAACACAGGAGCTACCATTGACTTTACTAAAAATAGACAATGTAATGATACTTTCACCTAAGTTAATCAAAAGTACAAAAATATGGCTGCCATTTTTTGTACTTTTGATTAACTTTACCGTTACCTTCACGACTTGAGGGCATGCTATCTAGGGAGCTGTAGTGTAACAAGTCAGATACTGGTCTATGGAGCGGATGGTCCTGGGTTTGATTCCCGCATGGGGCATTGCATTTAGCACACTCCCTTTTATGTCCTGTATCTTGCTTGTTACACTACAGCTCCTCGGACGAGCGTGTCCTCAGGACGTTACAGTTAGATTGTAGCTACGCGAATCTACTGATCTGTTAAAACAGATAAGTAAGCCAGCCTCTGAAACAGGTAATTTCTGTGTACATTGAAATTAAATCAATCTTGATGGTGAGCTTAATCCTATACCAGCCACCCATCCCCTCAGTCATCTTTAAACGTATCTGTATAATTTGTATTTGTGTAAAGGTCCTGTAACACCAAACATACTGAAGGAACTACAGAAGGCAGACATTCTTGTGACAGAACCTGGTCTCATTCACAGTGCAATACAGGATTTACCAAATCTCAAATGGATGCATTCAGTTTGGGCAGGTAGGTTTAGAGAACAAGTTGATGAGTTCCATGTACAAATGCACATGGTAATAGTAATGTACATTTGTGGTATTCCAAAGTGATTCGTGCATTGTACAACATATTTGTGAATAAAAAGAAAGTTATATGTTTAATCACACAAACAATATACACTGTACATGTAACACCCAACTTCAAAAATACCATCACATTATGAAAGGTAACAAATACAAATAATTGCCACCATTATTGGCATTTTGTTCTTTTTGGTTTAACAAGTTCACAAATCATTTTTATTCTTTTGTAGGTAATGACAAGATGTTCCAAAATCTTGATTCTAAAAAGGTATGTTTGTAAGTTGCCATTCCATCTTAAACTGGGTGATAGGTGATTTCAGATTTACAAATGGATGCAGTCTTATTCAATTACTTTTACATTTAGAGGTTTTAACCTGATATAAAGATGGCAGTAGTGGTAGAATTTAGCTTTATATTCTGTATATAGAAAAGATTGATTGTACTCTAGCCTTTGTCTATATTTTCTTGCAGCCCATTCCCAGTTATAAGTTCACAAGGTTTGCGGGTTGCTTTGGATCACACATGGCAGAGTATGTGATTGGACACATTCTGGCAAGAGAGAGGATGATAATTGACACATGGCAGGACAAACAGGAAAAATTTTGGTACATGTTTGTTTGAATATATTTATTTTTATCCAAAGCATGGTTGAAAGTCTCACTACATAGTACATATGTAACTCAAGTCAAAGGGATTCATTTCATCTAATTTTCCCTCTAGGAAACACCAAACTTCTCATTGCTGCAATCTTACAATGTAATATTATGTATGTTTGTGTTAAGGTACTGTTTAACAATGTGCTATGCTATTAAGCATCAAATCACAATGTAAATGTAATAGACTTATAGTGCTGTCCCCAGGTCTGATTTCGGTGATCGGCTAGTAAAAAAGGTTTGAGGGTATCATTTTGTTCTAGACACTCGCTAGAGTAAATTATCCTAACTTGAGTAAAAATGTGTGGTAAGTGAATTCGCTATGGGCAGTTAGAGAGGCGCCATCTATTCATTTTCAAACAGGGGGTAGGGGTATAAAATAATTTTTTATCACATTTTAATAGTAAAATGACATTGAAATACTAATAAAATCTTATCAAAAACATTATTTACAATCAGTATGAATTTTCTTGTGTGGATTAGGGTGAAAATAAGGGCATATTTTGAAATTCACTACAGGGGCGCCACCTATTTTCATACTTCTACCACGTGTAATAACTTATTTTAGATTTGTTAAGGTACGAAATGTACTGAAAAAAATCAATCTAAAGGACCTATATATGTTCATACCACATACTTAAAATTGGATCAATAGCTTATGTACCGGGGGAGAAAAAAATTCTTGTAATTTAAAAATGTGGCATCATGCAGGATAGGGGTGACCATATCTCACATGATTAACTTCCAAAATATGGAGCATATGTATCTCAAATGTACTCGAAATGGTGTATGTACTCTTGCTTTGTCATAATATTACTAATAAGAAGTAGAAAAATGATTGAACAATTTTAAAAAATATTAATTCTCATTTTGGCTTCAGACGTCCCAGGGGTGACCATATCTCACCTTAATAACTTCCAAAATATGGAGCATTTGTATCTCAAATGTGCTCAAAATGGTGTATGTACTCTTGCTTTGTCATAATAATACTAAAAAGAAGTAAAAAAATGATTGTACATTTAAAAAAATATTAATTCTCATTTTGGCTTCTGACATTCCAGGGGTGACCATATCCCACCTTAATAACTTCCAAAATATGGAGCATTTGTATCTCAAATATGCTCAAAATGGTGTATGTACTCTTGCTTTGTCATAATATTACTAATAAGAAGTAGAAAAATGATTGTACATTTAAAAAAATATTAATTCTCATTTTGGCTTATGACATTCCAGGGGTGACCATATCTCACCTTAATAACTTCCAAAATATGGAGCATATGTATCTCAAATGTGCTCAAAATGGTGTATATAGTCTTATCTTGTCATAATATTACTAATAAGATGTAGGAAAATGATTGCACATTTTTAAAAATATTAATTTTCATTTTGGCGTACCAGGGGTGACCATATCTCACCTTAATAACCTCCAAAATATGGAGCATATGTAACTCAAATGTACTCAAAATGGTGTATGTACTCTTGCTTTGTCATAATATTATACTAATAAGAAGTAGGAACATGATTATACATTTAAAAAAATTTAATTTTAGCTTCTGACGTCCCTCAATAACTTTTAAAATTATGTAACATATACAACTCAAATATACCAAAAATGAGGTTGTAGTCTTGCCTTGTCATAATACTATTCATGAGATGTAAAAAAATTATTACACCTTTTTTTAATTGAAATTTTCATTTTAGCTTCCGAATCTGCCATCTCAGGGGTAATTATATCTCACTTTGATATAACTCTCATATATGCAACATATGCATCTCAAATGTGTGCTCAAAATGGTATGATTAATAGTCTTGTTTTGTCATATTTATTGAGATTCATGAAATCAGAAGTTCAGAATTTATGGATTTGACTGTCTCCCCTGCAGGCTGCAGCTACATATAATTCAGAGACATTAAGATCTACTTTCAAATATTTGCATCTTCTCCCCAAACACTCCTTGGAACAATGGACAATAAGTCTTTTGCATGCCTTGGATGCAACATCTTTTGTATACTGGTAGCCTATCAGTAGTGTGAGTAGCCTAGCCTCATTTACCAAAATTGGGCCCTTAACCCCAAATCTAAGAATAATGCAATTGTTCCAAAAGCTAAGCTCTTCTTTGGGACCCTAGAAGTGTGGGACATCACAATCATAGATAAATATTTCATTACAATCAATGTTTGTTGTATGACAAACATGCAAACTAGAGAATGTTAATGTGGCTAGAAAGATTTATCATTACAAAGAGCTCCTTTTCCCGTATTTTACATACTCAAAATCCCTTAATTCAGTGTATAATCCAAGGTGCATATATTGCAGGCCACAGGATAACATATTAACACCTTACCAACAGTTGCCATTACTTCATAAATGGAGTAAAGTACTCCCACTACTGACAGGCTAAAAGGATTCCTGTATGGATTACAAAAGACGTTGGGTCCAATGTATGCAAGGGAATAATCTCATCCATTGTACCTGTAAAGGGTGTTTGGGGAGCAGATGCAAATATTTGAAAGCAGATATTATTTACCCTGAATTATATGTAGCTGTAGAGGAGACAGTCAAAATCCATTGATTCTGAACTGTTGATTTTATGATTCTCAATGAATATGACAAAACAAGACTATAATTACTAGTATACCATTTTGAGCACACATTTGAGATGCATATCGTGAGAGTTATCAAGGTGAGATAGCCCTTAGGACACCAGAGGCTAAAATTAAAATTAAAAAAAAATGCAATCATTTTTCTACATTTCATTTAAGTAATATGAAAAGGACAGGACTTTTCTGAGAATATTTGAGGATTATATGTTACGTATCTTAGAGTATCTTAGAAGTTATTATTATTATATGGTGCAATATGATTACCCTGGAACATAAGAAGCTAAAATTAAAATTTTTGAATTGTATCATTATTTTTCTACTTCTTATTAGTAATATTATGACAAAGCAAGAGAACATACACCTTTTTGAGTACATTTGAGATACAAATGCTCCATATTTTGGAAGTTATTAAAGTGAGATATGGTCACCCCTGGGACGTCAGAAGCCAAAATGAGAATTCATATTATTTTAAATGTACAATCATTTTTTACTTCTTATTAGTAATATCATGACAAAGCAAGAGTACATACACCTTTTTGAGCACATTTGAGATACATATGCTCCATATTTTGGAAGTTATTAAGGTGAGATATGGTCACCCCTGGGACGTCAGAAGCCAAAATGAGAATCAATATTTTTTAAAATGTACAATCATTTTTCTACTTCTTATTAGTACTATTATGACAAATCAAGAGTACATACACCATTTTGAGTACATTTGAGATACATATGCTCCATATTTTGGAAGTTATTAAGGTGAGATATCGTCACCCCTGGGACGTCAGAAGCCAGAATGAGAATCAATATTTTTTAAAATGTACAATCATTTTTCTACTTCTTATTAGTAATATTATGACAAAGCAAGAGTAAATTCACCATTTTGAGTTCATTTGAGATACATATGCTCCATATTTTGGAAGTTATTAAGGTGAGATATGGTCACCCCTGAGACGTCCGAAGCCAAAATGAGAATTAATATTTTTTAAAATGTACAATCATTTTTCTACTTCTTATTAGTAATATTACGACAAAGCAAGAGTACATACACCATTTTGAGTACATTTGAGATACATATGCTCCATATTTTGGAAGTTAATCATGTGAGATATGGTCACCCCTATCCTGCATGATGCCACAATTTTAAATTTCAATAATTTTTTTCTCCCCCAGTACAAAAGCTATCGATCCAATTTTTAGTATGTGGTATGAACATATATAGGTCCTTCAGAATGAATTTTTTCAGTACATTTCGTACCTTAACGAAATCTAAAATAAGTTATTACACGTGGTAGAAGTATGAAAATAAGTGGCGCCCCTGTAGTGAATTTCAAGTTATGCCCTTATTTTCACCCTAATCCACACAAGAAAATTCATACTGATTGTAAATAATGTTTTTGATAAGATTTTATTAGTATTTCAATGTCATTTTACTATTAAAATGTGTTAAAAATTATTTTATACCCCTACCCCCTGTTTGAAAATGAATAGATGGCGCCTCTTTAACTGCCCATAGCGAATTTACTTACCACACATTTTTACTCAAGTTAGGATAATTTACTCTAGAGAGTGTCTGGAACAAAATGATACCCTCAAACCTTTTTTACTAGCCGATCACCGAAATCAGACCTGGGGACAGCACTATTATCTGATATTGCAGGAACAAAAGTGTGAGACAAACATACCGGATTCTTCCTGAGTTAACCTTGGGTATACTTGGTGTGGGTGACATCGGCCAAGAAGGTACACAATTCATTTCAATTCACAGCTTTAACACATCGTAATGAATTGGTGTTCACACTGTTAAGAAAGTAAAGATTATTGTAGACACTAAAGAAATTATATAGCAGCATACATCTGTAAATTATGTTGGTGTCAATCAAATCAGTAATTCTATGTTTTTTTTCCAGTGGCAAAGGTTTGTAAAAGATTTGGTATGAAGATATGGGGACTGGTCAAACAAGATATTCCCAACAGATCTAAAGATATTGATGAATACAGGTACAGTATATATATGCTTTACAATATTACATGCCAGATTATGATTCATGTACTCATGTATTGTTGTATGTGTAATAGTGTTTTCTTGCACCTTATTTATGTAAGTATAGAAAATGTTTGACTGAAGTGTAATTGTAGGCATTAATTCCCCCAGATTTTTTAATATTTGGCCTGATCTCTTATATGTTGTAATTGTAGGAAGATCTCTGATATGTTATAATTGTAAGCATTAATTCCCTAAAATTTTATAATATTTGGCCTGATCTCTGATATGTTGTAATTGTAGGCTGATCTCTAATATGTTGTTATTCTAGGCAGATCTCTGATGTTGTAATTGTAGGCTGATCCATGATATGTTGTAATTGTAGGCAAATCCCAGAGCTGCCTGAATTACTAGAGAACTGTGACTACATAGTCAATATCCTTCCAAGTACTCCTTCTACCAAAGGACTCCTCTCAAGTGAAACTTTGAAACATTGCAGTAAAAAGGTAAAGAAATCAGATGGAATATTAATACTTTTCTCTCAAAGACAATTTAATAAACATGTACATTCATCCCCTTTGTTCTCTACTTATGGCTGTTGCAGCTCATAGACTTCACACTTATATGACCCCCTGCAGCTCTGGCCAATATTATAGAAAATTGCAATTACGTTCAACCAAATAAAATTGAATATCAAGTCTCTCACTAGACATGAAGAGGACTTAAAGGTTTAATCCTATGTCAATATTAAAATATGAAAATTATCTCTTTGATTATATATTCCTGTCAGTATTATTAACACGCATGCACTCACATCCTTGAATACTTCTTCGATAATTATCAGAGGAACATACATGTATATAGTAGAACATTTATCTCTTCAGAAGTCTGTGTTGATCAATGTTGGACGAGGAGATATTGTGGATGAGGCTGGTATTATCAATGCCTTGGAGTGAGTTTTCATCATTTTCTTATATTTTCTCATTTAGCCTTTTTTGCTTTCTCATTTCCATACAGTGAAAGCATGGTGTAAGTTGTAAACTTACTTTATCACTTTATCATATGAAGTTTCACACTTACAATCTCTTTACTTTGCCATGTGATCTGATACACATTTATGAAGTTGTTAGGATTTGGATGGGTATTTAAAAAGAATATGGCAGATTTTAGATCGATGTAATGTGTTTTCAGTAATGGGTGGCTATCTGGTGCTGTACTTGCTGTATTTGAAGAAGAATACATGTAATGTGTTTTCAGTAATGGTTGGTTATCTGGTGCTGTACTTGATGTATTTGATGAAGAACCTCTCCCTAAGACAAGTGCATTGTGGGACCATCCAGCCGTGCATATAACACCACATGTATCAGCCGTGACATTCGGATGGCAGGTTTGTTACATATTCTATTCTTGTCACATATCCCACGGACCCACACTCAACCATTTTCATTATTTCTGTCAGATGCCCAACCATGTACATGATTTCTGTCACACACTTAACAATGTACAATATTACTGTCACACTGTCAAATACATACAACATTCATACAATACACTTGACCATGTTCTTTATCCCTGTCACATACTGAACCAAATACAATATTTCTCTCACAAGCTCTACCATGTACAATATAACTTTCACACACCCAACCATGTACAATATTTCTGTCACAATTAACCAAATACATATTCCTGTCACACAATCAACCATGTACAATATTTCTGTCACACACTCAACCATTTACAATATTTCAGTCACACAATCAACCATGTACACTATTTCTGTCACACACTGAACCATGTACAATATTTCTGTCACACATTCAATCATGTACAATATTTTTGTCACATAATCAACTATGTACAATATTTCTGTCACACACTCAATCATGTACAATATTTCTGTCACACATTCAACCATGTACAATATCCCTGTTACACAATCATCCATATACAATACTTTCACACAATCAACCATGTACAATATTTTTGTCACACAATCATCCATGTACAATATTTCTGGCACACAATCAACCATGTACAATATTTATGTCACACACTCAACCATGTACAATATTCTTGTCACACAATCAACTATGTACAATATTTCTGTCACACAATCATCCATGTACAATATTTCTGGCACACAATCAACCATGTACAATATTTATGTCACACACTCAACCATGTACAATATTCTTGTCACACACTCAACGATGTACAGTATTTCTGTCTCACATTTAACCATGTACAATATTCCTGTCACACAATCATCCATGTACAATATTTTTTTCACACACTCAACCATGTACAATATTTTTGTCACACAGTCATCCATCAACAATATTTCTGTCACACAATCAACCATGTACAATATTTCTGTCCCACATTCAACCATGTACAATATTCCTGTCACACAATCATCCATGTACAATATTTTTTTCACACACTGAACCATGTACAATATTTTTGTCACACACTGAACCATGTATAATATTTCCCTCACCCAACTGTGTACAATATTTTTGTCACATAATCAACCCCATGTACATTATTACTGTCACATACTAAAACATGTATAGTATTTTTGACACATACTGAACTATGTACATTTTTGTCACACATTTATTAATGTACAATATATTTGTCTTATACTCAACCATGTACGATATTCATGTCACACATCAACCATTATTTCCAGGCAGCTGAGCTGTTCTGTGAAAACTATGAGAAGTTCATGAAGGGAGAAGAATTGCCATATCCAGTGAGTTGGGAGAAAGGTTACTAATGCAATAAATAAGTTATTGTTGTGCGAGCTAGTCAATACACCCAGAGATGATACTGCCTGGTGTGGTATCTATGAAACACTGGAATTAGTGGAATAAATGCAATAATACGTTTTCAATATGTGATTTTTGTATGCAGTATTACAGACAGATGTTGACTCTGTTTGGGTCTTGGCCAAAAATAATGGCCAAGGCGAGTGTAGTTTCAGGACTTTATAAAGGTTATGTTGAGAAATAATACTCGGAAATTGAAATACTTTCATGCTTTTTGAAACTAATTGTATTTTTATACATGTATAATTGCTCATATATTTTGTAGATGATATACAGTATAATAAATAAGAAATCAGTGATTTATTCTGCTGTGTGCTTTATTGTTATAATTCACCTTTATAGCACATCGTTAGCTATATGTTGAACCAAGAATATGGTAGATACGGTATTATCCATCGAAGTTCGGAAGAACAGCTCCATCTTATTTAGGTCCAAAGCTTTATCTATATTCCGGCTTTGAGTGATTGTTACAGCCGCCCGGCAGCCGCCCTGGTATTCAATATTTGTAAATTATGGTGACACACGCACAGTTGTTATGTCATAATTATATGAAACATACCTTTATGCATACATTTGCAGAATATCAGCTCATATCCCTGTCTGAATCGATTGTTATATATATTTTAATTTAGCGAAGTGGAATTTCATTTCAAAATGGCCTCCATTTTTCTGCTGAGTGAGCTGTATAAATGGCAGATCCGTTGAGTTTGAGGTTCTTTCCAAAATGAAATTTTGAAATATCTTAATCCAGACAAGCAACGCTTCAACTTAATAGATATAATTAATATTCGTATAAATATTTATAAGAATTATTAAATAGGAGTTCTAGGTGCGTGTGACACTTTTTTCTAGATTACATACGAAATCAATGAAGTTACATCTAGCTTACGCTTGAGACTCGAGTAAGCTCCATCCGTCCGTACATGCATCAGTCCGTCCAGGCATTAAATCAAACATAAACAGCCAAATCACAGTATTCTGCACCAACATGCAAACACGGTCAAATATAGACCTTAGAAAAATCTTTTAAATGATTGCAATTTATATTTATTACCTATCGCTATTTTTTCTCTTCTTTATCAAGCAGGAATTTCTTAGGCTGTATGTGATGATTGAGTTTAGCAATGATCTCAGCTTTTCAGGTGTTATGGGTAGTGGGTACTCTACTTCAATCTGTTTCACTGCTCTATATTTCTTCTCCAAAGGTTCGAAAATAAAAATCTCAAAAATCGTACATCTTTGTTTCGAAAATAATTTGTGGTGATTAAGATGATAATACACATTTTAACGTATTCATTCTCGAATTCATTCTCAACAAAGCGTTCACGAAATAAGTATTCGTAATGTTTGGGTTTCTAGGTGATAAAAGTATGTTAACTTTTCTCAGCACGCAAAACTCTTATTTTCAGTCTGATCTTTTGAACTAAATCAAGCTACCCTACCACGTGACCACGTTTAAAAGGGAAACAGGGTACAGTTAGTTGCAAATAGAGGACGTGGGTTTAATTCCATATTTCTGAACGTAATTTAATACATTTTACATTTATTTCTAGTGTTCTACCAGACATAAAATAAATTCATCAAGTAGTGTATAGAATATTTTTGGCAAAAAAACATATAAGCAAAGATGGAGAATAGTGGGCGCAGTGAAGTAAAACTTGAAAGCAATACAAGATGCATTTCAGTAAATATATTAACATACAGAGAGTGTGTAAGTTTCAATTCGAAAATAAATTACTTCTTTGGACATTTTTTTATGTTTAATGTCGGTCTTTGGACATTTTTTTATGTTTAATGTCGGCCATTTTAGCCAGAAAGTTAAACAGATTTATCTCAAATTTTTAGACATGTTTCTTGGTATGAAAGTTATGTGATTTTGTTTGCAATAGAAGAGTGTTTTATATGTCTCTGGACTTAGTAATGGTTTAATACTCGGAAGTTAAAATACGTACATATATTTTGAAACTGATTGTTTTTTTGTATAATTGCTCATATATTTTGTACATGACATATCAGTGATTTATTTGCTGTGTGCTTTTTTTATAATACACTTGGGCAGAGAGCACTTGGTTAGAGAGCAGACTGCTATATATAGAATTAGAGAATATGGTAGCTACAGTATTTACAACAATGATAAATAGAGGCTGAATGTCCCGTGTTAAAGAATCTGTTTTCATTGTGGTTGTTTCAAACTACCAGATTTTGTCGATGTGGTTACTTGCCGTTGCTATCCCTCTGCAAAATATGATAAAAATATTACAAAACTGTACTACTTTATGTACGACATGTACCTATCTTAATTGGATTTTTGGCATATAAATTTAGATTCATATTGCAATAAAAGATTATCTGACAGTCATTAATAAAAAAATGGTACTCGTTACGTACTCTTAGCAAAACACCATTTTGCATTGACGACAGATGAGTCAAAACAGCACCCAGCTTCCACGCATTGAGCAGCTGTGATTCCCGCCCATCCACAGTCTTTTCTCTTCCTTGCGGGAAAGTCACATTCTGGGTCCTTCTTCTTGCTCTCACCTTTATCCTTTGACTTAAGCTTGGACTTCTCACCACTATCTGTAGATTTTTTCTTAGACTTTTCACTCGTATCGTCAGACTTTTTCTTGGACTTTTCACGACTATCCTTCTCCTCAGATTCCTCCTCTCTACTGGTACTTCTTTTCTCTGTGTTATAAAGGGTCAACATTATTTGTTATATAAAATCACCTAGTATTTCTGACTTAATATACTGCTAAATATGAAATGAACTGTTGATGTTTCATATTGGTATTAATTGGTTCATTGTTCATATTCTTACCATAAAGCATACAAAATGCAAAAACTATATCCATATCAATGTGCCATAAATCATCATAAGAAAGTGGCCAACTCACTCATGCATTCAGTTTTGCAGTTACGGAAGCATTGGTCTCTGAACCACGAGTTAGGACAGCTGTATGTGGAGTCTTCCTTGTCATAGTAACTACATGGCCATTGGTCAGGGGCCTTGCCATAGGTGCAGTCAACTAAACACACAAAAATGATAAAATGACCATGCTTTTAGATAGGAATATCCTCATCACATTTTTTTAGTTGGTTATTCTTATAAGAGAAAGCTTTACCTTCTTGACAGAGGTTCCCATCGTACCCAGGTTTGCAGTCACAGACACACGTGGTTTTATTGAACAGCCCTCCATTCACACACAGCAATGGCCATGTCAAGTCTGAACATTTAGCTAGGTACCATTCTACAATCGTAACAATAAGGTTTTTTCTCAGATATATAACTTTATGATAACATTCGATCAACTTGAGTTCTGAGAAAATGAGGATTTCAGCAAGGTTGCATCGACTTAACATAGTATACATGATGTTATTCCATAATAACATGTTTTCCCTGGGAAAATAACAGGGAATAAAAGTGTTATTTGAAAAATCCCGTATCAGATCCCGTATCAGCCAAAATCCCGTATCAGATCCCGTATTGGATCCCGTATCAGCAATAATCCCGTATCAGATCCCGTATCAGAAATATTCCCGGTAATTTCTCCTGAGTTTTACGCTTTTCGTCTAGCACATCTCTACAGGAAGTAAAAAATCGTTTGGAAAATTGAAATTATTATCATCTAGTTTACGTCTATTACTGTGACAAAGGTCTATTACTGTGACAAATATTAAATATTAAAATATTATGAAATAAATAGGTTATTGATGGTCGTGATGGAATATGGATTTATTCCTTGAGAAAATATGATATTGGCCTCAGAAAATATCATATTGACACTCGGGCTATCGCCCTCGGTCAATATGATATTTTCCTTGGCCAATATCATATTTTCCCTCGGAATAAAATCCATATTCCATCCCTCCCATTAAATAACCTCTATGTATCCCGATGCTAAGTCATACGTTAATGGCGTATGTCCCCATGTTAAGTCAATGCACCCTTGCGGAAATCCTCTTTTTCTCAACAAGTAGATTTATGTTGGATAGTATTGCTATACTTCATTGTCAATGCAATAGTAAGAACGAATAGGGACTTTTAAACAGGACATTGGGCTTGCTTTTTAGTGCTTTTTGTTGGTATTTTTGGGGGACATATTCACTTCATACATTCATATACTGAGGCCGCCCCGGGTATACAGTCATTAATAAAATCAGTCTTATTCTTATTCAATGTAAGTAATATAGTAAGTAATATACATGTATACACCACGCATTACCAACTCAGTACACTAGGGGACTTTTTAAACATTTTTAACTTATTCCTGGGCCTCAGTTCATATACATATTCACCCATACATTCAGGCATGCAAATGGGGACCTTTTCACTTACCCATACATCTAGGCTTGCAAATGGGGACACTTTCACTTGCCCATACATTCAGGCTTGCAAATGGGGACATTTTCACTTACCCATACATTCAGGCTTGCAAATGGGGACATTTTCACTTACCCATACATTCAGGCTTGCAAATGGGGACATTTTCACTTACCCATACATTCAGGCTTGCAAGTGGGGACATTTTCACTTACCCATACATTCAGGCTTGCAAGTGGGGTAACATCTGTCCCTAAACCATGAGTTACTACACCTATATGTGGCATCATCCTCGTCATAGTAACTGCAGGGCCACTCTATTGGGTCACCTATACTGCAGTCCGCTAATCAGATATGGAAGTACAAGTAACACAATTTACTGTCAATCAGGTATTTAGATTGGAATACTAAGTAAATCCGGTGCATATGAAAAACAATGACAATTCATCAAATATTATTTTTGTTTGATAATTGCCAAACAGTAACAATGATCAAAGAATAAATAAGACAGCTTCATGTAGACATGAGAAAAATTAGCATCCATATAAATGAGTTTTTGTTTGTTTGTGTTTCCAAATATTTCCCCTTCTGCCATATGCCTGTAGAATAGAGTATATTGGGCAAAAAGCAGTCACCACTCTAAGATGGGCTAGCACTTATACGAAAAAACAGAATTCATATTATCTTACGACGTTCACACAGTTCTCCTGCATATTTCTCAGGGCAGATACATTTACACTGTTCCTGGTCAAAAGTCCCTCCATTTGCGCACTCTAAGGCGGCCTCCAAGTCTGGACATCCAGGCACCGGCAACTCAGGTGGTTCTAGTGTAAAAAGAAAAGCATGAATGAATTCTTGTTTTATTATTTTAGTACAAATTATAGGGTACAACCTCGTACAACCTCAAATGACTTACAGAATTTGTATATTCACAATGTTTTTGAGTAATTTCTCTATATTTATGCCTCACCCTTGCACTGGTCATAACAGACTGAAAGACATTGATCGCTGAACCACTTATTGCTACAACAGTATGTTGCATCTGCCTCGTCATGGTAACTGCATGGCCACGTGGTAGGATCGCCAATACTGCAGTCAACTGGAGAGCAATAAATACGTTTGATATTGGATTCTAAAATATTATTCAATTATCACTTGTTTACAGTGAGACATGTCTAATCCGAACGCTTCTGGGACCAGCCAAAATTATTCAGATAAGCATGTGTTTACATTCAAGTTTTTTGACATGAAAGTCAATGGGAGAAAGCAAAATTGTGACTGGAAAAAGTGAATTGTGTTCAGATGGGAGAGTTGTTCTGTTCTAAATATAGTAATGTACTGTAGTACTTGCTCGTTAATGATGTGCAATTAATATAATTTCACAAATGTATTGATATTTTTATGTCACCACAAAGAAGTTGTGACATAGGCTATTGTCATAGAGTAAGTAACCGAAAGGCATTATATAATAGTATTACACTAATCCATACAAGTTCTCTTTAAGTGTAGCTTATCCTCTTTATTGTATTGCTTAACTCACCCTTCTCACACATGTCCCCTGCAAATCCTGCAGAACATTCACACTTGCATGTTGTTGGACTAAATGTTCCTCCATTCTCACACCTAAGTGGCTCAGAAAGACTTGGGCAAGACTTCAGATACAATTCTGCAATCCCAAAATGAACTTTCATGGCAAATCGTGTGATAGCACAATCAATAGACTAGTTGGATAATATTTTCTGTTACTGGACATATTTTAATTTGCATAACTATTAGATACATAAGGGTTACATGAAAATTGAACCACTAAAGCAGATGTAATTTAAGTTAAAGGGAACGTTCTACTATACCCGCCATGCTATCTGACCTGAAAGAGCCACCTGGTGGTGTAACTGGTAACTACCTACTTGCATCTGCGTTATTACTATTTCAATTTTGACTATTTTTGAAAATATGATGCAGCTTTTCAAACCTAAACTTACTCATGCATCCAAGGTAGCAATTTGGGCTACACTGGCTCCTGAACCATGAATTTCTACATGAGTATGTATCTGAAGCTTCATCCTCGACATCACATGGCCATACAGTTGGGTCCCCAATGTCACAGTCAGCTGTACAACCCTTGTCCCCCCAGTTATCCACACAGTCGCAGGCACAGCGATCTGGATTCCATACTCCGCCATTCTGACACGTGACTTCTTGGCAACCTGCAATTAAAGTATATACAGCACTTAAACCTAAATCTGAAAATCCAAAAACGTTCGTGCAGGCTTTCACATTTCAAGGTATTTCTTAATGTTTGACTCTTTGGGAGAAAACACTTTATACGCTGAAGTACGCACCATCACACTTCTCTCCCGTCCAACCGTCTTCACATACACAACTGCAGACTTCTGGTGTTGCATCATAACTTCCATGAGCGCATTGACCATGATCCACACAACCTGCGGTTGGAATAATATACAACTGTACATATATAATGTTCTAAGTAATGGGTATTTGTTCTCGAATACTCGGACAGATTGCGATGAATCACTAAACAAAAGTTCTGATTAGTTCTCGAATAAAATAAATTTTATTTGCTTCTGAGCAAAATAAATCCTGCAAACAATTTTTCAGCTAGTTTAAGAACAAGAATCGTACTTACTGCATTTTCCACATTTTCCTGGACATTGAGTTCTAGCAATATAGGGGTCGCTACAGTCAGCATTGTAGTTGCAATCTCGGAAATTCATACACTGCCCTATAGATTTAGATAATACTGTGTATTCACTGAATCTTTACTATTTGACGTGTGTGTGTCAAAAAATGGAAACCCTGCATTTTCTTTATATCTGTCATTTTAAGAATTATTCCCTGATATATCACACATTTGTACATCATTTAATTTCCTAACACTCTACCATATTCCATGACCATCAGACTGATAGTCACAATTTTACAGCACTTTGAATAACATGCTTCAGGTTTGGACATCATCACGCTGTAGGCAAACCTGCACAGTTGTCAATGATCCGAATGCATTCCTCAGCAGGTATGGCCTGAATGACATGGATAATCTCACTTTTTAGGTTTGCAATTAAGGTCATTCTAAGGTCATTCTCATACAATTAAAACTAGATTCCAGATTGGGTTTGAAAAAGGTGCAAGAACATCAGACCATATGTTTGTTCTCAACACCCTGATAGATCTTAGTAAAAACAGAAAGAAACCATTATACGCTGCTTTTATCGATTTATCTAAAGCATTTGATTCTGTGTGGAGGCAGGGTTTATTGACTATAAACTATTAAAATACGGGATCAAAGGGAACCTATTTAAATTAATGTCAACAATATATGAGGACACCAAATTTTGTATTAAACATGAGCTGAACATAACAAATTTTGAAACATTTAATAGCGGCGTTAAGCAGGGAGATACTTTGTCGCCTTGTCTTTTTAACCTGTATCTGAACGACTTGCCAGAAGTATTTGAAGGTAAAGAGAATTTATTTAATCCCCCGAAACTATCAAGTACATCAATAAATTTGCTCCTATATGCAGACGACATAATCCTGTTATCTGAATCAAAAGAAGGTCTACAACACTCATTAAACCATTTAGAAACATACTTAGATAACTGGAAACTTTCTGTAAATACTTCAAAATCCAAAGTTATCAAGTTCCAAGCAAATGGCAAATTAACTCAGGATACTTTTTGGTACAAAAACCAGCCCTTGGAATGCGTAAGGGAGTACAAATACTTGGGTATTACTTTCTCAATCACAGGAAATATGAAAATAGCAGAATCTAAAATATATGACAAAGGTTTGAAAGCAGTCTATAAGCTTAAAAGGTGGCTCAAGGATTCTTCTCCTAATCCCAAATTAAGTATTAAGTTATTTCGACAATTAATTAATCCAATCATAACATATGGAGCTGAAATATGGGGCATCAAAGGACTCAGTAAACCGAATGATTTTGCCAGCTTTATTTCAAAATTTGATAAGAATCCAATAGAAAAACTTCATTTGTCTTTCATGAAACACATTTTAGGAGTTAACAAGAAAGCAACCAATCTTGCAGTATTAGGGGAGTTAGGCCAATAATATTGATATTTTCACAAAAACAATTAATTTCGCAAACCATATTAAACAATCAAAGAGCGAGCTTCTAAAGGAATGTCTTGAAATTAATGTTAGAAAATCCCTTCCATGGTTCACAAGAATCAAAACTATAGTAAATCATTTAGACGATCAGCTCGACGTGGGTGCATACATTGATAGATCAAACGATGGATGTTTTGATGTGAATCGACTTACTCTCTCCCTAAAATTGATATGGGAATCATATTGGTCAGAAACACTTAATAAGGACTTGAGAGATCCAACTATTTCTAACAAATTGTCAACCTATAGAAAATTTAAAAAGTTATTTAGTTTTGAAAACTACCCGTTGGATGTTAAATGTTCACAGGCAAGAAAAGCACTAACTCGCTTTAGAATTTCAAACCATAAGTTATTAATCGAAAAAGGAAGATACACCAGACCAATTATTCCTAGAGCAATAAGGCTATGTGAAACATGCGGTTTAGTGGACGATGAATTACATTTTGTCTCAAAATGCCACAAATACGTTTACCAGAGAGAATTCTTAAAATTTATGCTAGAAAAGACGGCCCCCGAATGCTCAAAACTTGACAATTTTAATTTCTTCTTTTATTGTATGACTTGTGAAGGTACCGAGATAAACCTGGTCGCAAAATTTATTTCATCATGCGATGTAACTTAAACAAAACCAGTTTATCAATAATATGTCATGACCCTTGGTAGTCTTAACGGACACTACTTAGTATAATCTACTGTACTAAAGCTAGTAATATTTAGACTATGACCATCTATATTCTTTGTCATGTTGTGTCTACTAGCCACATATATATACTAGTATGTATTTATTCACATATACTAGTGGCATTACACATTTATATTTCATTTTTGTACTGAAGTAGTTTGTAGTTAGTTGTATGCTTTGTATATGACCCCTGATGGGGATTGAAATACAATAAAGCTAATAAATTTACACTCTATCTCTGCTACATGTATATCCCCACAGGTAGGGGCATTTTGGACGACGGGTGCAGGTTTCCCGACAGCGCAATAGTGGTCACTGGGGCATGTTCTTTAAAGTGCTGTAACATTGTGATTATCAATCTGATGGTCATGATGTACAAATGTGTAGAATATCACGGAGTTATTTCTTAAAATGACAGAGATATGAGGAAAATGGTGTAATAGTTTCCTTTTTTGACCACCCTGTAGTACATTAATACTAAAGTACAAAGGACGAGTGTCTTTAAGACCCTATATTAGCCCCTAAGATATTTCGAATAAGTTGTACAGGATATCAAAGGAGGAACTTTGTTTGATAACCAAATCCAAAAATAAGGTCATTCTGACCTTTGTATTTCAAAGTATAGGTCATTCTATTGACATGTGGAAAATGGCCTTTTGAAGTAAAATTCAGTCTTTTCACAGCATCATTGTCACTCTGTTACTATTTATTTTCTAAATAATTACAATTTACTGTCTTTTATGACTTTTTAATTGCTTTTCTTGGTATTATCTTACACCATGAGGAAGCACAAAGGGCAACATTCGAAAACACATAAATATAACAAAATCAAAAGTGCGTATCGAACTATTGAATATTGATCTTCCTTTTATTTCATTGAGATCAATTGTCCACAAACAGTTTGCAAAATGATTCTGAAAAGAATATTGAGTTTATTTGTTTACATCACAGAGAGAAAGAACAAGGGGCAAAATAGAAAAACAGATAAAGAAATAACAAATCAAAAATGCATATCAATCAGTTATATACTGATCTGCTTTATTGAGATCAATTGCTCATAAACAGTTTGCATTGAAGTGGCAGTAAAATTGAATTTTTTATTTTACATCACAATGAAGGAGCACAAGGGGCAACATTTTATCTCCTTTGTGCCTTCCACAGGCTTGGGGACCAAAGAACACATGCAACATGTGCACATGAACCTACACCATTCAATGATTCTATCAATGCTATAATAATTATCTGTATCTGGGATGTACTCTACCCATATATAGTGAGATTTGGAGGGCAAAAACCTGGACTGGATTTTTTCACAATTTTTTATTCACCATTACTCTATATTATCTACTTGTCTACATTAAGATGCTCGTCTGTGTATCAATTTTTGGTTAACTTGATTTATGCCAAAAGTGAATTGACGTACATCCACTTCAGTCAAAATGGGGCAGTCTTGAGAGAGTCTACATTTTATTAGCAAATGTTGTTTTCCTGCCCACTGATTGTGACTTACATTTCTTCTGCGCAATGTACAATAAAGAACATTGGTATGATCAGCAAATCAACTGTGATAATATAAAAACACTATCCATTGACAAAACTAGCACCTGCCCAGGAGGATTAAATGATTGTGCAAAAATCCCCTCAATTTTGTATGTACATTTTTATGAATGAATTGAAAGGAATTACATGTTATTATGTTGCTTAGAGCAATGGTAGGGATATATGCTTCTCAAGGGGTCATGCTCTAGTGCAGATATACACATTAGTTCATGAAAAGATTATATGAATAAAGAAAATATACTTGAATATATCAAAACACAATTGTCACAATCATTCTAAGGATTTTCAAAATGGCTGACAGCATTTTATTTCATGCTGAAAATTGCAGAAAAGTTCCATTCTTGCACAACGCCTGGTCCTTACCTAGATTTTTATATATCTCAAGAGGTACCTTAGAAGTACACTATTCCCTCACCACATATAACTTTTTAGGCAAGAACCAGGCGTTATATGAACATAGCAAGAGTTCATCATGACTTTCCTCTCTCAAAGAATAAGTAGGTCAACACAATTACAAACATAATTCATCCCTATTCAATGGCTATTATTACCACCTTGCCGGGCCAGTTCTAGGGGTTTTAGTGCTAGCTTAGAAGGCGTTTATTTTACTATATCGACCTGAGAAATGTGTGACGTCATAGTGGTGGTCCATATGGACCGGTCTAGAATATATTCTGGACCGGCAATTTTCCCCGGGAAATTAGATATGGTTCAATGCGTAAGATTTTCTTGCTGTTTCAGTCCTGGTCGTTTTAACGGTGGTAATAATACTAATAACGTCATTTCTGCGAGCAATATAGTGAAATATTGGACCTTGGGCATTCGGCCCTCGGTCCAATATTTCACTATATCGCCCTTAGAAATGACGTTATTGCACTATTGAAATATGACTATTTAAGTGTATAAAATATTAATCCCATGAGTGTATAGAGTGACACAATTAAACAATTGGAAATCTGCCAAGTTGGGTTTATACATTCTGGAGACTTTTTCTGAAGCTGATCAAAAAATTTCATTTTCACAGGAAGTGATACATACCTCCTAAATCGACCAAAATATATGTATTTGAGTCATGTTGAATGCTTATTATTGGTATTTCTTTAAAATATACATATTTGTCTACAATTTGATCCTACATATCAAGGATATTAACGACATTGTATTTTTCAAAAACTTTTAAGTGACCCCAGGGGTGTCTATAGCCATTCGTTCTTTCTGACTATGTATTCCATATAAGGCCGAGTGATCAGAAATATTACATGCTGATAAATATTCTTTACTTACTGTCACATTTGAGACCAACGTGCCCTGTGTCACACTCACACTGACAGGTTTCTGTGTTCAGGGTTCCCTCGTGGCAATTGTCGGCCAGTGCACATTCTAAAAAGTTACAAACACAGGGTGGGCAAATAAAAATAGGACACTCACATATAATTGAAAGAGTGTATAAGAAATAAATTTAATTGAGAACTAATGAGAATAAAGTTCCAAGATTTGTGGATATACCTATAAAGGTTTTCAGTCAAATTAAAGATGAATGTTTTCATGTGGCACTGCTTGACCTTCAAAAACAGCTGTTGAGATTTCAAAAAAATTGTAAATTTCTTCATTCTTGCTGTAATAAGTTGCCTAGGCAATCTCCTGTGTATTTAAAACAACATTTTACTAAAATGGGACGAGATGATAACGATTGGCTGGTTACACATAAGAAGGTTAATTAAGACAAGCTGGAGTTGAACTATGCATAAATTGTTGCTAAAGTCTAAGGATGAGATAAGTTATGGACAGATTTAGAGCCAGTATCGCTGATAAGCGAAAAGAGACTCATTAGAAATTTTCAATTTAAAAGCATCACAACTTCTACATTATTCAAAATATGTGACATATGAATATATCTCATTAAGGCCAATCAATTCCCTAATCCTTTGGTATGCTTATATATTCTTTGAATGGAGCAAAGTGTCCCATTTTCAATGCCCACTCTGTAGTATTGCATGGCCTGGTGTGAGAATATAAAATATAGTATATCAATATACACCAGCGAGTTGACTTCGACAATTTCCGATATAGTTAAAGGCCGACAATACTTAATTTAGAAGAAAAAATAATAATTGAAACGTGTTACTCACACACTTGCTCAAACATGACACCAAGTTTGATTTGCTTTAATATTGAACCAAGAAAAAAACAACTCACACAGACGAAAGCATTTGGAGTTCAGAGATCATTAGACATGCATGCACATGTTAAACAAATTAAAGTGCATGTTTTAAATAACTGCTGATTTAAAAGATGGCGGCACTTCTATAAAAATGAATGTATAATGCGATTACAAACAACTTTGCCATCTTTCAATGACATTGATAAAAACTTGATATATAAAGCTTGACAGATCAAAAATATTTTTTTGTTTTGATAATTTATTATAAGCTTTGATGTGGTCCGTTTGAGCTGTTGTTGGTGTCAAATAAAAGATAAGGTCCTTATCAATACATTGGACATACTATGAAATTTAAATGTAAGTCTTTATTTTGCCCTTAAATGTTCGCAAAGTGGGCCTTTAATTATGGCACAGACCTTGATTATGATTGGCCTAGAGTGAAAAATTGCGGAGTCATGTTAAGAAGTTTTCCTACTATGAAGAAAAGGATGAACCTAATAACAACTTACTGCAATCTGTCCCTTTAGTTCCTGCTGGACATTCCTCCACTAAAATATATTAAACACTGTCAATTTACAATAGGGGTAGCCTATAGGATTATAATTAATGCTGCGATAGAATACGTTTTTATATTTTTCTCGTGTTCAGGTCGATATAGTCTTCACATTTGCTTCATCAAAGATAACTCAGAGTTTTGCTGATTCATTCTTACCACATAATTTTTTGTAGCACCAGCCATTCCCATCCCGACAGTTTGTACACGGTTCTCCAACTTCATATAAACGCGTGGTACCATTGGAAAGCCGGTATACCTTTTCAACATAATTACCAATCTCCTTGGCACGAGGACTTATAAAAAGAAAACAAAATGTGACAGGTTGATTCAGAAATACACAATGGTTCCATCTAATTTACTACTAAAAATCTATAATCAGGGCGCACTAGCTGGATTAAGTAGAAGGGGGAAATCGCGATTGTCAAAATAAGAGATGAACTGGAATCAAAATAAACTTTACAAAGATTAAATAAGAGCTGGAAATAAAAACTATATTGAGATATTTTCCCCAATAACTATAAAGTCCGACCTTGCGAAAAATTGGACCTGCGCTCTGTGGCGGATACTGGTCAACGTTCCTGCTTTTGCTGCTATTACTCTTTAATTGCAGAATTGACAATATTAGTTAAAATAACAAATAATCTTACATTCTATGATACTGACACACCAATGTGCTCTGTTTACCCTGCGCAGTACAGTCAACAAACCCACAGCCAACCTCTAACACTGTAGCCTCGTCCTCCTGAAACCATAAGTGGTAAATATTAGATATTTATAATTATGATTGATTGGTTGGAAAATGTAAATAAGCGAGTGGTCTTAAACTTCAGCTCTAAGCACAGACTTTTACTCATTATTAATGATCACCAACAATTTACGAAGTGCAACTACAGCTGTCGACTTGTGAACTGAGCGAAATTATTTCGTTTTCCAGAGTTTTAGGTGTTGAAAGAAACGAATCATGACATGAGTCAAGTATGCTTACATTTGTATAGTGCCCTACGCCTCTCCAGTCCCCTTTGACAGCCTTGGCGGAGAACCAGTCATAGCCGGGAGAGTAAAGTTCCACCCACCAACTGTAGATCTTAGACCTATAGATGCAAACACAATATGGAATACGTGACACATGTTTTGTATCATATCGATATTCATATGGAGACGAAAGTTTAATTGGTCTAGTTCTATTGCATTGTATTGGTCACGATTTTTTGGCCATTTTACAAAACATGCTCCAAATGCGAAAAATCACTCAATGTGAATCCACAAACTTTTATATTTGGAGCTATATCAACGATTTTGTCCACACTTACAATGCTAAAAGCATTGACATGGTCACTGTTCCACAGCTGGTTACTTTGGCGGAACGTCAACAAAATGGATGAACTTCCTGCTTACGAGTTTTTTGGTTTCTCGATTTAACCTACTTGTAAGTCAAGTTGCAGATTATAATTTGACAAAAAAAGCTAGTTTTAATAAGTTTCTTCGATTTGGAATTTGTTTTGTAAATGAAGTTGCAATGTATACATTCAGCCCCACGCTTTGGGTACATTGTACATAATGATAAACCATGACATCGCATTTCTTATCAGCCTTGAGATGTTTCAGGTGAAACAGAAAGATGCTATGAGTATCAGAATGGTTATATTACCAATGTATGTTACTTTAACGACTTACGTCAATGTAACAAAAGCGACATTTCTAAAAAGATATATAGACTATATTGTCGTCTAACTTTGTGCTAAATGATAATCCGCAATATGACTTTTGCGTAAGTTTAAATCGAGAAAACAAAAAACTCGTATCCAGGAAGTGTTTCCATTTTGTTACATTGACGTTCCGTCAAAGTAACCAGTTGTGGAACAGTGATGGTGAGAGGGGTTTTGTGAGGCTAGTGCCTACCCCCCCCCCCCCCCCATTCCTTTTTCAAGATATCATCAATGAAAGAATCGATTTAGTAACATTCCCTTTACTTTTGCCACACGCAGTATAGAATGAAACTTACTCTAGTGTTTCTTTACTTGGTGGCCATGAGAACCAATGTAGGTTCTCATAAGCGTTCGCACACGAGAGGTCGCTGTGACCATCTGGACACGTGACTGCATGTTTCATCGCACATACCTCCAGCTCGTCGCTCCATTTCTAGCAAAATAAATAACAACAAAGTTCGTAGAAATACCATTAACTTTCTTCCATTTGAGACTGCATGTTCACTTTGAAATAGTAGATGTGTTAATATAGCCTATAGGCCTACATATGCATATGTATCATTCTTTGGAGCTGAGTATTTAGGATCTTTTTGCCGCAGCCTGATTTTGGCATTTAAATTACTTAATCTAATCTAACTTTAAGCGTTTTCTAAAATATTTGAATTTTACCAGATAGTTCATATTTGCCGATGGTCCTGGATCAACTGATCCACGAAGCTTGTTAATTTCTCCCAACAAAATATCTCTGATCGTTTGTGCGCTCATTCCACCAGCGTCTTGGATGTGGTCTTGCCCATTGACCCGAGTTAATGTCAACATCAGGAAGACGACAAACTTCAATAATCTAAACAAACGACCCATCTTTGGTGACAGATTGGAGTGTCTGATGCTCAATTCAATGCAAGAAATGGTGTAAAAAATTGTGGAACTGTATTTTCTAAAAATTAAGTATCCTACGCGAAAGTAAATAATACGCGATATAATACGCGAATACTATTGATATCTATCTTTGAATGTTCAATATGTATTCTCAACGACCCTTCACCCAATCAACTCTCTCAGTGTCTGGAAATTGTCAAAAGAAGAGCATTACTTTTAACAAATTTCTAATTATTTTGGGGATAACTGCGATATAGTTTTGAAAATAAAATAAATCGTGATTTTCAATTCATTCTAAACACGATCGCTGTTTTCGGTTGTTCTGTGAATATGTTAAATCAATTCCTGAGAGTCAAGGAAATAAAATGAACACAACAGAAATCTTTGTTTAAGAATAAGCTGAGGGGCAATTAATAAGTTCCTCTGAAATTTTCTCTTGACGACCACCGTTTCAAACATGTTTAAAGACCCACTTATAACCTTGGAATTACACCTGTAAAATAACTTCCTAGTGCCAAAAACTTGTTGTTGTTCATTTTTGCTATTTTTAAAATAAATTTGAAGATCCATTTTTTTTAAAAGACGAAATAAAATGTAGAAATTTAAAAGTTGAGTTTAGAAAATTATAACGTAGAAAAGTAAAGTGCAGACAATCAGTGCCGTCCTACTGATAGTGCAGAAAAGTATAGTGTAGCGCTTACCTGATCATGTTTGGTATTCAATCCAGTAAAACCTGAAATGAAATGTTTTTCCGACAACCACCTTTATACCAACCGAGGGATCGGGTGTTGGACATTTTTCCAGCCTGAAAATACGTTTATTAACAGACATGTGGACAAGCTTCTATACAACCCCTTAAAATACCGGATATAGTTGTATTTGCTAACGTTTTTAAAATGGTAATTAATTTAAGAGTTTATTAAAAGGATATTGTTTTATTAACCACGTTAATTCGAAAACGATTCCCGGAACAGATGTCGGCTATTTCATTTGTGTTTGACCATCGGCGGCGGGCAGAAAGCACAATCACTCGAAAAAGAAGAGTCGACATAAATTGATGATGAATGATGCGCTAAATCCACCAAATCCAATATGTCTATGATGGATTGATGAAATCTATTTTCAGCATTAACGTTTTTGTCAAATCAAGATTTTACTCACTGCATTTACTATTTAAGCAAATGGGATTAAATTACTTAGTTTGTGTAAATAATAGTAAAGTGTAAATGGCGTTTCAAATAAAAATATTTTGACGTCGTTTTGGAGCTCTGTGATTAAATGAAATTAGGTTATATCCGTTTTATTTCTCGATTTACCTGCCCAAGAATGAAATCACAAAATTAGGTTGTAAAATAAAGGTTGTGCTGGATGCATGATGTTCATATCTTTTAAAAGTGAAAAGGGTGATATGTGCCATGGGGAAATGTAAGTCTACAGTATATACATTTACTGCTCTTATTGTATTGTATTGTATTGCATTGCATTGCATTGCATTGCATTGCATTGTATTGCATTGTATTGTATATAAATGACGTCAGGTCTACCGCGTTCTGACGCTGCCAATCTTTAAACCCATGTTACACTCGAAAAAATGATAAAACAAACTGTGAGTTGGGTATTTATCATATCGATCTCTATAAGAAGAATGATTGCAGGTATGTCCTATTCTAGCTTTACTCTCTTCGCATAATATCAAATATAACATTTGGGGGAGCTTTTGGGGTTTTGATTCCAGTTGGCCTCCACATTTTGATTAATCGGGAATCCCTCTTTATCTAATGCTTGACTACTCCAAGGGATAGTGCAGGTACAGTGTGATCCCCAGGTATTCTATTCCCATCCTAAACAGTAGGTAGTGGCCCTGGTTGAGTATAAATATCCCTCGAATAAATCAACTGATCGTCATATTTGACTCATCGTCATTATTTGACTATATGACTCATTAACATTTGTGATATGTAACAATGAAATCAGATGAAATCACATCAGATGGGAAGAGTTATAACTATCAATTCATGTGATGTGTAAGATACATATATAGTTGCCACAATTCGATTGTGATGATACGATTAAAAAAGAATTGTGATATTTTAAATAACATTTTATTCCTTAGAACAAGTATTGCACTTCCCTATAATATGGGAATCTAGTGACTTTAAACATGGTTACTATTATATTTATTATTATTTGCATATGAATAACTATTTACATACATTATGGTCATGACAAGCACTGTATAAACTTGTAATAACTATTTACATACAGTATGGCCATGACAAGCACAGTATAAACTAATATTACTCTATTAAGTATTGCTTTTTCTACACTTAATAATTGAATAAGATCATATGTATGATCAATAAAAAATATGAGGTTGACTATCTATAGATGTCAGCGCTGGATAAACTGCTTTATTGTAAAGTTCAATAATAAGCATTGCTTCAAATCTTTCTTCTATAACATCAAAATTGAGTATTTATAAAATTGTTCAAGCTTATTCAGTGAAATATTAACATCTCATCAAACAAAATGGGAGCTGAGAAAAATCTGAAGTCGTACTGACATAGATATCAAGCCAGTTAGTAAAAAGTACATCATGAGCTAGCATACAATCAATCATGCTATATTATGTGCATATTTATGTAAATCACTTCTGCAGCGAATTTATTGTCCTGTCTCATTTTTGAAGACCAGACACTGAGATACTACATATTTGTATAAATTACATCTCAATTTAAGGAGGGCAGAGTACAATGGCTTAAGGACATATTTGCCCACCTTGTCGGTCTACCTTAACATTACATACAATCTGTCGAGGTTACAATTTGTACTTTTCTTGAAGCCAAGTGCTGAGATCACATTTAACATTTAACAGAACTGAGAGTACATTTTTAACTGAAGCTACAAGAATAAAACTTTTGGTGTTGATATATGATAAGAAAGTGATGATGTGATGGACTAAAAATAAAACCTACCAGTTAGTCAACCCTCGTCAGTATTCATTGGCATATTCTATTCGTACAGATGCTTTACACTGGTGATCCGCTCGATTACGCTGGTTACCGAAACCGTTTCGGTAACAAAATGTCAGAACGTCGAAGGTACGATTTTTCTTTTTTGCTCATTTCGCTCGTTGTAGGCAGAATCCCTACGTCATTTTTTCTCATAAACGTTTATCAGTATCATATGTTTTATAAAAAGTACATGTTTGCGAAAAAATAGCTCAGAAGACACAGAATCGTCGATTTAATTCCTCTTTTAAGTTAAGTATAAACGGTAAGGGTTAAACGTGCAGATCTTAACTGTTTTTCGAAATACCGTTTCGGTAACTTAAGTGAGGGATTAAATCGACGATTCCGTTGTCTTCTGAATTATTTGTTCGCAAATGTGAACATTTTCTTAATCATATGATACTGATACACGTTTGTGATAAAAATGTCGTTGGGATTTTGCCTACAACGTGTGAAGTAAGGAAAAACGAAAAATCGTGCCATCGACGTTCCGACATTTTGTTATCGAAACGGTTCCAGCGTAATCGAGTGGATCACCAGTGCTTTATTAAGTGATTTCTGAAATTTAAGAAAAATAAGTACAATCTAAAACCGACCATACATAATTCGCCTGTATTCATCCTCTAGTATTAAGGTTCCAGAAATATTTTTTAAACTTATTTCTGAAAACTTAATCGTTTGGATATTTTGTGCGAGAACGTAATTTTGGAGAGAAAGGAACAGATACTGAAGATATCCACCCCGCTCGCTAGATACATTATCTACCTAAAACCTCGGTAGTTAAAGCATACATAAGGGTGTTTTTGATACAAGATTTATCTCGAGAGAAAGATGTGTATCACACGTTAGACTGGAGAGACAGAAGGATTTTGAAATATGTATACAGAACCGACCAACATGACATATGTATCCCATACCCTCTGAAGTTCTATTTTATAGTGCGGAACTGGGATATGCATACCGATGTAAATCCTGGTTGGTCGGTTTTCCCACTAATATTGATATAATCACAGGTGATATAAATCATTACAGATTCAGCAAGTCATACGAACATAAGTTATAGGCTAGCACCATTAAAACATGGCTTTTGGGGCTTGCCTCGGAGAGACCTGTCGGAAATTGTCTTGAAACGTGAAAACCATGAACGCTACGTTAATTATGACTATTATGTACAATAAATGTCTTAAATGTCTCAAGTTAATACCTTGTTATACGTTATTGGAATCACAATCCTCCTTTTGGCAAGAATTTATTTATAAGGTGCAATAACTCCACCATTATTGCATATGAATATTTTACATCAGTTTTGGCCATATTCGCAGCCTACAACACTGTTTGAGCCTGAGGTATTCAGTCAATCTCAGAACGACGTTAAACTTGCATAAAATTATTGCTTCTATCTTTGACATTGCGCTATATATTGAGTTCCCGTTTGCTTCCTTTTGTGCAGTATTTGTTTCTGGCTTTTGTTCGCCAAGTTCGGGTCACCTGACCCCTGAATTGTATCAGTTTGTGTCAGCTACCATCCATTATACATGGAGAAAAATTGAGCCATTTTGTAAGTAAATGAAATATCAAAGATCATCCACCGGTGTCGTTGTGTATTTTTGGTTTGACAGTCCAAGTTCTGGAGTGGGGTGCTTCACTGTTGGCCTTCCGCACTGAAAGAGAAGATATCACACGTTTCATTTCGTTTTTCAGTTTAAGTAATTCAGTGATGTTAGTAATGAGGGGATTAGCAGGGAGGTGAGGGATTGCATCATGTCTCTGGTTCCTCGGTTCCCTCTGCCTTTGAGTAAGCGATCGGCCAGAGAGTAACGCGAGAAACAGGCTGACTTGATGCAAGGTTAATGGGAAGGGGCAACCATCACACAAAAACTGGTGTTAGAGGCGCTAATTGGGAAGGGGTGTGCCGGAAACAACATGCTAATACGTACTGTATTGGCCCAAAGTTCCGTTTGAGGCGGTGTTCTGATTGGTTGAAATACGGGTTGGCGTAGGCTCAGGAGTGGATCCATCTGCAAAAACAATTGAAAGCATTTTTTAATCCAGGGAACCATATCCCGACTATTAGATAAGACTAGTTCTTCTATTACATCAAATGCGCCCTGACTGTGAATCATCTAAAATGTGAAATAACTCAGCATCCGCAATCAGGCACTGCAGTGTAGTTACCTGGAATGATGAATACATAATTATACCAGGCTGAGAACGCTTTTTAGATTCGATCAAACAATCATGAACAAAAGGCGTGTATGCACAGTATATGTACACTCCCCTCCATTATAAGTTTGCCTACCGGAAGTTGCCTTTTGGATCACTTATTTTTGTTTAGCGATTCAAAATAATTCGGATCAAATATGATCATAAATTCCGAAGAATTGTATTTAACGAACAAAATGAAGAGCCAAAAATGACAGTCTTTCATATGCTAATTAATGAAAACTTTCGATTACCAAACTTGTGGAGGAAAGTGTTGATAACCAATAAAATGGCGCACAGGCTTCTCTACATATATGATTTGAGAGCCTACTGTTACGAAACATTGCGTGCTCGCCGGTATCAACAAGAAGGCACCATTGATTGAACATTGTTTGTCCGCTCTAATCAGCTGACAAATAGATTGATTGCACAACTGTTTGACAGTATAGTTCAATATCTTAGTTGAATAAAAATAAAAAGTATATACTTTTAGAGTTGTAACTCTTTGCTTATTCATATGGAAGTCCTAATGTCTTGATTGCTTAACTGTCCAAAAACTGTTAAAGATTTAGAATCTTGCAGTATATTTGGACAAGTCCGGCAGTCACAGTCAAGTTAGACCAAGAAAAAAGATTTCGTGGAAAATCTTGGCTCAATAGAGTCCAAACTACCATATTGATCAATTATAAGTATAAGCCTATTGTTTTTACGACATTTCACCACCGATAGAGTCTTTTAAACCTTTAGAGTTGTCATAAAACTATTGAAAATCGACATTTTACTGTCAGAGAGCTGAAAATGGGATAAAACTTATTTTATTGATGCAAAAATCCATTATTCTTTTAGAAAGTTGGGATCGCATGTGGTGGAACGTGTACCCTTTGCATTCGTTTGACTTTACTTCTCAAAAGAGAGCTTCGTCTTAGTAGTTTAACTAGACTCTGCGCGCAGGGTATGGAACGTGATGCTTTAATTCTTGAAAATAACGAAATTTATTCAGAGTAACAAGTTATACTGTTCCAATTTGAAATTGGATTTTTCAGATTTGCACTTCTTGCAATAAATTGGAAATTTCAAGTTGCCATTGATATATTGGGTAATCCGACTGTAGTCGACATTTCATATATTCTATCGCAAAAAATATTGATAATATTTTTTGTTTGTGTAGTTTCAAATTCCCAGGCCTGCTCATCTTCGACCCAAAAAACAACAGTGATGCTACTACAAATGAAGCTTTGTAGATTACCATAAGAAAGGCGGATTCATTTCTTTTTTACTCTTTACGTCATTAACAGGCCATGGTATATTTAGTGTCCATAGGTTCCATAATAATGTTACAGTCCCTTCGCCCTTAAATAGCTATAGTCCTCGGGTTGGCAATGTTACTGTAGTCTTTTTCATATAGCCTTTGCAATAGTTCACGACAAAAATACTGTACATAGTGAGCTATCTTCGTAGATGGAAGATGACGCCCTTTCACCTTCTTAATTTAGAATGTTGACGCAGAGGTTCAAAATAAACAGCAATCATAAATGTGTCAATAAGAGAGATCTATCCGACAGTCAAGTTGACGAATGAGTGTTTGCCTCTGAATAATGGCATGATAGAATACATGTTTAATTTCGGTTGAAGTACTGATGAGAGCAGAAATCAAACAGATGAATCTGAATTCCCCAAAACTTCATTTTATTATATCACAATAGCTACCAGTATCACTGATGAATGATATAATCTGTGAAGAAAGTCGCGGGGATTGAATTGAACAATTGATTCATTGAGTTCGTCGTAGCCCTCTATTACCGTGTCAATTTACCTTCAGTCTATTCGATTTGATTACTAGTAGATGAACATTGAGCATATGAAATACATATAATCAGTATATTCGGGCGTCTAGATGCGATCCATTATCTGATTTTATCCCATACTTAGAAGAAGAAGAAGAAGGGAAGGAGCAGTATGCCCCGTTAATAATCAAAGATTTGAACAGGAAAATCCGGCTACGGACAAGAATACAAAACTGGACATGAATATTTTGAAATAATTCCACGGTTGGTTGCAAAGTTTCTGAGCTTTGGCCAATAGAACAATGTGATTGGTATGGGATAAACAGATCATCCTATAGTCGGTTCAGGATATTGGGATTATCCCTTGGCCAATATAATATATCTACCCTCGGGACCTACGGCCCTCGGGCAGATATATTATATTGGCCTCGGGATAATCCCAATATCCTGAACCTCATATAGGATAATCTCTATATACACACTTATACAGGGTGTTCATAAAGGCGTTAAACTTTGCAGAGATATTTTGAAACTTTATGGACATCCTGTATATTCAATACAATGTCCATTATGATCCAAAACTAGCCGTCATTCAATAAACATCCTCCAAACATAGGCATCCAGAACTCGTACCTGGAAGAAGGAAGGAATTTCGGAGGATGTTCAATGACTGCCATGGTAATGTGGAATATTAACCTTATTTTGATGAACAACATATCAAAATCTGTAAACTAGAAAATTTTAGATTTCCAACACTAGCAACAGCGGCAGCCATGACATAATTTTGATATTCCCCTATATGGTAACCAACTGACCGAGGTTCTCATTTTCACATTTAATTGTCACTTTCAATAAGTAGTATATCATTGGCAAATGCCTAAAGGAGCACGATACTACATAGCAAAACATCGATGTCCAAAAGCGATGATAATCATTGAGGAATAGGCTGTCTGTTTTATTTCTCACTGCCCCGGGAGATGATGTCTGCTCCGAGAAACCCAACTTGATGATGTACATAATCCGATTTCAAGTCTCCTGAGTTCGGTTCCTAATCATTTTATTATTCTCTTATACAGTTTGCTGTTGTGCAATTAACTTCTCTGATGAAATAATCATGAGGACTCTTAAGGATATAAAGATCTAATTTATCAAGAATTAATGGTAATCCGGATGGATTAAAGAGGGGTTGGTACCAGAGTGGCTGCTTGTACGTTATGTACCCAGATGTAATTGAGACTCGTTGGTCGATGAAGAACTCGGGAATAGCACCAATAATGTGCGCTATGATTTTCTATGTAAGATTATTTGCCTATCTGTTAGTATACATTGTCCCGTAATCAGACCGTTGTACCGATAGTCGATAAAACAATATTCCGCTAATTGTATCGAGATCTCTTGGAAATAAATCGAATAACCAAAGCAGTCTACCCTTTGCATTCGTTGACTTGCTTAATAAGATTGAGCACACTAGATTAATTAAAGCATCAGAGAGAATGATATTGTGTCCGATATTGTGTTAGATCATACTTTGGGTTATTGGGGCTTGTTTACCTAAACGACTTATGGATGTTTTGTATTCTTGTTTTGTCTGTACATGTTTCGTTGTACTTTGTGTTCCCTCTTTCGGCACTTGTGCCTACATATTCACTCCGGTTTAGCAGGAACATATTGTATACCTTTTTGTTCATCCATTATTTACGATCTATTCTGCTTTATTTATTTAAAATGAAAAGATGGATATTTCAAGTTGAAAGCATTGTATCCCATTCATTTTGACTATTCATTGCTTCATATAATTGCATACCGTTGTGGGAGAGCAAACCTTGAAATCTTTTTTGATATTTCACAGCTGGAATATTGTTTAAAAACCTGATCATTCCAACTCAGCGATAAATCACGTAATATTGACGTTTAACGAAAAAAGTGTGTATTTTTAGATTTTAATGAGCCCCATAAATGCGTCTGTTAGTCAATGATGGAACATGCCTATGGGCGCTGTTTTTTATTTCCCATTGGACTCGTATATAATATTAGCTCATTACAACATGATTATTTACCAGCTATATGTCTTATCACCCAAGAACAGTATGGTCTTAAAGTTGTCTAAATGTACGATTCCATCCATTCTTTTAAACGACTGTCAAACAATATAAGAAGAGACAGGAGTGCAATAGGGTCAGATACATTTTCCAAGCCTGTCAAATGGATTATCTGTTAATCAAACTATATATAGGCATCTTTGGACCTGGCTTAAACATCTGATGTTTAAAGCCCATATTAGTTGTATAAGTAACTAAATGAAACTGCCTTGGAGTTAACGGCAATCATCAATGGTCGAGTGTACTTAGAGTCTCAGTGAGGTCCCAGTATTGTAAAAATATTTTTTCCCAAAACTTAAGAATTAAAATGAAAGAACCATTGAACAATAATCATACAAATGAAAGAACCATTGAACAATAATTAAACAAATGAAAGAACCATTGAACATTTATATAAATGAAAGAACCAAGAACCATTGAACAATAATTCAAATGAAAGGCCCACTGAACAATAATAATACAAATGAGAGAACCATTGAACAATAATAATGCAAAAGAAAGAAAAGAAAGAAAGAACCATTGAACAATAATTATACAAATGAGAGAACCAGCATTAAACAATAATAGTAAAAATGAAAAAATTAAACAATTATACAAATTAAAGAACCATTGAACTTATGTTTATAGTGTCTGACAACCCGCTCTTTTCCAAGAGTAATAATGCAAACTTCAATTAAAAGGTGTGGTGGATGGCATTTTCTTGGACGAAATACGCATCTAATAGCGGATATAAATGACATTTGTTGCTCCCAATTCTGACCACTTCAGATTAGAAATGTTCATCCACTAATGAGTTGTGGCGATCTTATTAACACAGACCTTCACAAGTGAAATATTAGGTTGTCTAAGAAGCTATATCGATTCAATTAACCTTCTGTTTTACACTGGTGGTCCACTCCACACCGTTTCGGTAACAAAATGTCGGAACGTCGA